TGTGTGTGTCTGTGTGTGTCTGTGTGTGTCTGTGTGTGTCTGTGTGTGTCTGTGTGTGTCTGTGTGTGTCTGTGTGTGTCTGTGTGTGTCTGTGTGTGTCTGTGTGTGTCTGTGTGTGTCTGTGTGTGTCTGTGTGTGTCTGTGTGTGTCTGTGTGTGTCTGTGTGTGTCTGTGTGTGTCTGTGTGTGTCTGTGTGTGTCTGTGTGTGTCTGTGTGTGTCTGTGTGTGTCTGTGTGTGTCTGTGTGTGTCTGTGTGTGTCTGTGTGTGTCTGTGTGTGTCTGTGTGTGTCTGTGTGTGTCTGTGTGTGTCTGTGTGTGTCTGTGTGTGTCTGTGTGTGTCTGTGTGTGTCTGTGTGTGTCTGTGTGTGTCTGTGTGTGTCTGTGTGTGTCTGTGTGTGTCTGTGTGTGTCTGTGTGTGTCTGTGTGTGTCTGTGTGTGTCTGTGTGTGTCTGTGTGTGTCTGTGTGTGTCTGTGTGTGTCTGTGTGTGTCTGTGTGTGTCTGTGTGTGTCTGTGTGTGTCTGTGTGTGTCTGTGTGTGTCTGTGTGTGTCTGTGTGTGTCTGTGTGTGTCTGTGTGTGTCTGTGTGTGTCTGTGTGTGTCTGTGTGTGTCTGTGTGTGTCTGTGTGTGTCTGTGTGTGTCTGTGTGTGTCTGTGTGTGTCTGTGTGTGTCTGTGTGTGTCTGTGTGTGTCTGTGTGTGTCTGTGTGTGTCTGTGTGTGTCTGTGTGTGTCTGTGTGTGTCTGTGTGTGTCTGTGTGTGTCTGTGTGTGTCTGTGTGTGTCTGTGTGTGTCTGTGTGTGTCTGTGTGTGTCTGTGTGTGTCTGTGTGTGTCTGTGTGTGTCTGTGTGTGTCTGTGTGTGTCTGTGTGTGTCTGTGTGTGTCTGTGTGTGTCTGTGTGTGTCTGTGTGTGTCTGTGTGTGTCTGTGTGTGTCTGTGTGTGTCTGTGTGTGTCTGTGTGTGTCTGTGTGTGTCTGTGTGTGTCTGTGTGTGTCTGTGTGTGTCTGTGTGTGTCTGTGTGTGTCTGTGTGTGTCTGTGTGTGTCTGTGTGTGTCTGTGTGTGTCTGTGTGTGTCTGTGTGTGTCTGTGTGTGTCTGTGTGTGTCTGTGTGTGTCTGTGTGTGTCTGTGTGTGTCTGTGTGTGTCTGTGTGTGTCTGTGTGTGTCTGTGTGTGTCTGTGTGTGTCTGTGTGTGTCTGTGTGTGTCTGTGTGTGTCTGTGTGTGTCTGTGTGTGTCTGTGTGTGTCTGTGTGTGTCTGTGTGTGTCTGTGTGTGTCTGTGTGTCTGTGTGTCTGTGTGTCTGTGTGTCTGTGTGTCTGTGTGTCTGTGTGTCTGTGTGTCTGTGTGTCTGTGTGTCTGTGTGTCTGTGTGTCTGTGTGTCTGTGTGTCTGTGTGTCTGTGTGTCTGTGTGTCTGTGTGTCTGTGTGTCTGTGTGTCTGTGTGTCTGTGTGTGTTTGTGTCTGTGTGTGTGTGTTTGTGTGTGTGTGTGTCTGTGTCTGTGTCTGTGTCTGTGTCTGTATCTGTGTCTGTGTCTGTGTGTAATTGTGTTTGTGTTTGTGTGTGTGTCTCGGTGTTTGTGGGCTTGTGTGTAGTGGCGATACTGTGCTCAGGTTGGTTTCAGCACCATGCAGGGTTCCCTTATTTTCACACCCACAAAACAAGCGGTTGCTCTAACCATTCACTGACCTGAATGAAAGAACTCGGCTTGGGTACCAGAGAGTTCGATGTCCGAGAGCACTCCTTCACCGTGACCATGCGCGGGGAGTTGCTCACATCTCCACTGCCTGCACATCTTGCCGGACAGGTTGGGATCTTCTCTAAATACTCTGGATGGACGACATCCTGCACCACCTAAGAAACCATGGAAGGATGATTCCCCTATAAATAGCAACAAACTAATGGTTCCCATAGTTGCAAAGTGGTGCAGGATGTTGTCCACCCACAGTAGGAAAGAGTAGCCGAACGGATCAAAAGCCAAGTGCCCAGGTGCCGAAGGGGTTGGGAGCTTCTCAGCTTCAAGGTAGATGGGAACCCCAAAATTCGCCCGAACTGCCTGATGTTGATCGGGTGGATGGGATGTTTGCCAGGCCCAAGCCGCCCTACATGAGGCTTCAGTTCGCCCAGTGAACATCCCAATCCCCACTAAAACAGGTTCTCAAATGGGTGGTGAATTCACCTACCCCAAAATGGGCTCCCATTGATTTTGACAACCACAGCCAAATGCCCCCTTTCCTTTTCATCTTCTTAGTAGTCTATTTTAGTAGGGGAACCCTCCCAACCAAAAAAGAAACGGTAAAAGCAACGGCACCTAGCTGGGGCACCCAGTCAGAGCCTCAAGCGAGTTTCGGCCCGCAGTCACAAGCAAAAGCGGCTGAAAGCGCGCGCCGAAACCGAAGCCAGCGCAGGCCGTGGGCCTCGCGGCGAGGCGTTGGTCCGAGAGGGAGACCTGAGGCCGAGTACCGCCGTCCGAAGGGGTGTGGTCCAACATTTGCTTTGGACTGGTGGTTCAACTCCCCAAATCAAACATAAATTAAGGATCCAGGTGCTCTCCCTTTTAATTTGAAGCTTGGCCGCGCCGTTGCCGGAATGTCTGAAATCCGTGGACGAAAGAGAGGAAGGCGAGAGTGTAGCACATCCGTAATTTAGAGGGTTCACGGAACATTTGGTACCCCGTGCAGTCGGTAGCTACTGTTCCAAGGAAAGAAGAAGACTGCCACATCACAGGAACAGTTCAAGGGCAAAATGGGTCCACAAAGGTTATCTGTTGCAAAACATCAGCAAACACCCTCATCCTCTTATGCTGACTTGTGACCAACAAACACCCCGCCAGACATGCTGATCGACGGGTTCCTGCAACAGGACTCCCAACCAGCCGAACCGACTTGGGAAGTTGGACCGTTCCTTTCAAAGTGGTCCCGCATTTCGACATCCAAGACAAATATAACATTTACCTGAGCAACGCCAAGCCGAATCGATGCAAATCAACACCCACGCAACAGCAGCCTGGATATCAGGCCTCTGAGCCAAATGAACCCCAAACAAACCCAAGACGTGCCCTCATTCAGATCTCAAGCCCAAAACTCGCCAGCCAGCCCGAAACGACTCGGAACTGCCAAATCAAAGCCAAGAAGAGACGGATGGGGTTGCCAGCCAGCCAGGCCCACCCCTGGGATCAGCTTCCAAGTCCATAGCCCACTCCAAGTTCCGAGCCTCTCCCAGCCAGCCTCCCAAACCAGGGCCTGGTTTCTGGAGAGTTTTATGGAAACGGCGCTGAAAAAAAAACTCTTCGCACGCAAGCCACAGTTGGCTTCTCAGGGCATGGGAAGCTTCGTGGCGTCCCTGGCTTGTGGGAATGTTGGAGAGATCCCCCTTGTCCCTCCCAAACGGACCACAGACAAATCAGGACATTTGGACCAAGCCTAGGTCCTCTAGTAGAGAGGTTAGAATACGGGTACTCTTTTTCTATAGTCTATTTTAGTAGGGAAACCCTCCCCGAAAACAGACACGGTAAAAGGGCACAACTGGGGGACCTAGTTTGGACCAAACCCTTACGAACCAGGCCTCGAGGAGCTCGAGTGCCTCTCGCCTGCAGCTTGAATCGTAATCTGTGTCTCTTGTCTTTTCGCAATCCGTTGTTGCGTGTCTTCTTTTTTTGTTTTGTTTGGGGGGGAGCACCCTTTCCAGGTTGCTGCTTGTCTTCTTCTTTGTTTGGGGGGGGACAATAACCAACTTTTCAGGTCGCTCAAGAGGGAAACCACAAGGAACGCCGAGCCGTTTCGGGGATCATCCATTTTTGGACACATACTCATCTGGCATTCGAGATGTAAAGAATCCAAAAGGATGGCCATTTAATTTTACCTCCCGTCTTCGTCCAGGCGAACAATTTGCCGCTCCAATGCAGGGGTGGCTTTCAGAAAAGTGGCCCGAGTGGCCAACGGCTTATGAGGTAAGGCCACAAGGACCATCCGATTGAAAAGGTCAAACACATGGTCCTCGCCCAGTTTTGGTGATCGGTAGTTTCGCTGTCCTTCCCACCCTCTGATTTGTTTGCGACAAGGCTTGGCTTTTCTTTGCAGCTCATTGAACAAGAACAAAAACAGCACAGCAGACACACAAAACCACAGATATCATTGACAGTCAAATTTTGATGGGGGGGGGCCTGTAGATTGGAATGCGATAACCTTCCCCTATAGCTCCCCTTCTGGCTGAAGCCCTGGTTCAATCGCAATTCCATCCAGCCTCATGGCCGCCCCGTCCCTCCCAAACCCCAAAGGATCAAAACGGCTTTTTTGCACCAACATTTGGCCAAAACACTATTTGTTCGCACCAAAATTAGCCTAAACACTCACTTTTGTGTATCTCTTGCTCTCACTTCCTGAGTGGACTGGCCCAAAAAAAGTCCTAACTTCTTTTTACCATCCAAACTGGTGTTCCCAAAACGTTTAAAGTTCAGGAACTCGTGAAGTGAGTGCTCTTCTTTGCAGACTTGCCCGAAGGACCAAGAAAGAAAAGGTGAACCGCTTTTCGGGCCATGACGAAAAAACACATGCACCCAAAATGGGAAATCAAGCAAAACTGGGAAATCAACCACACATGGGAAATCAACCATGTCAAAAGGTCAGCTTTGAACAATTGAGTTTGTCATTTTTGGTCCAAACTGCACCCTCGCCTGCGGTGCCGCCCACAACTGGAGCCGCCAGCGAGCCCACAGGAGAGGCCTGCAGAGCCTCGGCCAATGACGTGGACAGCGCCCGCCGGGTGTTTCCGCCCAGCTTGGGGCAAATCGGCGTGTCCTGGGCTAAAACATGTGGAAACCAACAAAGGGGTGTGTCTTTTTTGGGGGACCCAAATTGTGGTTTCGCTTCAAAACCAACAAAACGGGGGTAAGGGGTACCCTCAAGAGACTCACCCATATAGTTTCCGGAACCAAAAGGAAGTCGAAAAACCAAATCATGAGGATAATATACGGAAATTGGGCGGGTTTTCCTTTTGGCTTCCCTGTAAACACCTACAAAAAAAACACGGGGCACCCACAAAAAGACACAAAACCGCCCCAAACCGAAACCGCCTCGGTTCCACGAAAACCGGACCCATCTGGGCGTCCCCCACTGCGAAGAGCTCCCGGGCTGAGCCCCGGTACCGATGCGCCACCTAGCCGTGCCGCCCCGGTCCCGGAGCGGTCGCTTTTTGGAGACACCCCACCCCAAAAGGCCCCGGTGAAACCGGGGAAGTCGGGAAAACACCCATTGAAACACGGGGTTTGGGGACGCACCCCCCCCAAAAAAAATATGAAGCCAGGAAATTCGAGAGGAAGCTTCAGCAAAACACCCATTGAAACGGCGAATGTCCACGGAATTTCCTGACTTCGCTGATGTCTATGACCAAACCTGAAACTGATCGAAAAAGATTCTAGACCTTGGCAACCCCATAATTAAAACAAGGATGTGCATCTGACATCTTCATGTTTTTAACTTCAATAATAAGATGTTGCCAAAGATTCAAGACGTCATGGTTTTCCTTTTCCCCAAAGGACTATCTTATGATGGCTGTCTTGCCTCCAATGCAATTGCATGACCATCCCGAGAGCCCTAAGTAGGCGATTTGGGCTTTGGACCACGGCAGACTGGAAGAACCGGCCGAGCTGGAAACCCGCAAACCAGAAATGCTGCATGGTGTTCCTTTCCATTCACTGACAAAATCCAAGTCTAGTTCTTCGTCAACCTGAGATAACGCGAAAGAAAGGAACCTTCATCGAATCCACGAGCCATTCTTCTATTATGCACAATGTCTTGCTGGTGGGTAGGGAATGACGCTTCCGGGTGTTGGGAGTAAACCTAGGGATTCCCTTCAAGGAAGCCATATATGGTTTTTCATCGGGGGCATTCAACTTCTCGTTCCATGCTCGAAGCAATCCAGCTTGTGATTTGGAGCTGAGCAAGCAACTAGGTTTTGCTGCTATTCCCAGCCAGAACACCGGGAAATTCGAGAGGACGCTTCAGTAAAACAACCATTCAAACACAGATTGTGTGGCGAATGTCCACACATTTTTTCCTGGCTTCGCTGATGTCTATAACCTAAACCTGAAACTGAATGGATTTCTAGACCTTTTCAACCCGATAAAACAAAGGTGCACATCTATGCCTTTTCATTCTCTCAACAGCAATGTAAGATGTTACCAAACATTCAGGACGGCTGTCTTGCCTCCAAAAGGATATTTTATGATGGCTGTCTTGCCTCCCATGCAATTGCATGACCATCCCGAGAACCCTAAGTAGGCGATTCGGGCTTCTGACCACGGCAGACTGGAACAACCGGCCGAGCTGGAGACCCGAGCCAGAAATGCTGCATGGTGGTCCTTTCCATTCACTGAACAAATCCGAAACCACTCAAACGTACTTGTACATGCCTAAAGCAAGGAACCTTTGCCGAATCGGCCCACGAACCATTCTTTTGTTATGCACGTTGTCTTGCTGGTAGGGAATGACGCTTCCGGGTGTTGGGTGTAAACCTAGGGATGCCCTTCAAGGAATCCGCATAGGGGATGGTTTTTATTCGGCTTCACAGGCTCGAACCAATGCTTGTGATTTTGACCTCGAAGGCTTATAGCCATTCGACTGGGCTTGCCATGAGCAAACAGCTGGGTTTTGCATTTCCCAGCCAAAACACCACTATGGAAAAATTGCCTTCCAATTTGCCAAAGTAAGTGGTGCTCAATTTAAAACAACACAACATGTAAACATAGGGGCCTCCGAAGTGTCAGCCGGCGGCTTGACCTTCCAATCACACACTGTCAAACATGGACGACTCGAAACCCACCTCCGGAATCTGCCGGGGTTGCCTCAGAGCGTATGCACATCGTAGGTGCCATCCAAAAAATAGGTGGCTTCGATTGGTAAACGATGAGAACCCAACTGAAACAAATCCAGCAATTCAATTTGGTGTTCAAACTGACCTATGATGATCAGCTTCTGCTGGGGGTTGCCTTGCCCGACTTGTCCCCTTTTGAGTTGATTCATTCATTTCAAAGGGGGAAACATGGAGGCGGTATGATTCAGGCCCAAGCAGAACACGCTGGAACTGGGCGAGTCGCCCCCATCCAGCACCCCCAATGGCTGGCCAATTGAGGGCACATCGATTTTGGGCAAAACGATGTCACCTTATGTCTAAGCGACTGCAAAAGCAATTTGCTATCAAGTATCACTCATATGTACTTAGTGCAATTTGTGCGATGATACAAGTGACCTTCCAGGGTCCTTTGGGGGGGGGGGGTTGCAGGGGAAGGAGAGGCTGGCAAATTTGAGGTTTGAAGGGCAAGTTTGAGGTTGGGAGGGGTTCTTGAGGAGCGTGTCACAACGTGTCACGGCGTGTTGGGGGGTGGCCAATTGCTGGCACATGTACGTTGAACGGTTTCTTTGGGATATGAGCGTGTCACCTGCGTGTCGCCCCAACCACCCACCCCTCGCGCGTTGCATGTGCAATGATCATAGATGTCAGCCCAACCCCTCAACTGGATCCCCTTTGGTATCCTGAAGTCACGTTTCAACAGAAGTGACCTTTCACTGCACTTTGATGATGGCAAAACATCTGTGTAACTTCAAAACAGCAAGTGCTGGTCAATTGCCGGCACTTCACCCGGGACGCCAATTACCGGCCATCGGGGGCTGGATGGCATTTTGTTTTTTTGGTTTGCACTGAGGGGAATCTCTATTTTGGGGAGCATCTACGGGGCGATTTTGGGCAGACTGGAAGACTCTTATGATTCAAAACAAACTGGCAGACATCGCTGGGAAAACCTGGATGGCAGCAATACCGTCCAGAAAATCCGAACGGAGACTGAAGAGCCGTTTTCTCTCTTCAAGAATTGGCTGTGGCTCAAAAAACCGGCTCCCAAAATGGAACCCTGGTAAGTGCAAACATGGACCAAAACCTGCGTAACCCCTCCTGTTTAATTTTGAGCCACACCCAATTGTCATTGGTTTTCAATCTTGGCAGTGATGGCACCCTCCAACTAGTATCGGCCTTGCTCGTTCTCGGCTACAACTTGACTGGGTTAAAGATGCCTAAAGGACTCGCCCAACAGTGCTTCTCTTTTGCTTGCTAAGAAACCATCGGTCTCCCAACCCCAGCTGCTCAGAGACTTTCAAAAGGGAACCCTTTGGGAACACAGGGCGCTGAACTGGGAAAAGTGAAAACGGTTGCCCATGTTGGTTGTTGGTAAGTTTAAAGCACCATTTGGTGATACTTTTGCTGGACTGTTTCTCGGCCCGGCTTCTCGGCTGACAACTCGAAGCAGAAAGCATGTTTGGAGCCGGCCATGTTGTTTGGCGGGAGCGAAGCAAGGGCACACATACTCGATTCTGTGCCCCGGCTGATTTATGGTTGCTGTTGATTTGACCTTAATTCCTCTCTGATGAACAACCCCGGACAGGGGTATCCTCTAGTACTAGTCTGTGTCGTTTAGAATACACAAACTACGAAACAGAATCTGCCAATATGATGTTCCGTTTATCCTTTTCATTTGTGGGCCCAGCTGCAGTCATGTATTAATCTTTTGAGGAGGGGGGCACCCCCCTGGAACTTCAAGGCACACCTTATTTAACCTTTGGGGGATGTATGTGTTTTCCCCACTCAACAGAAAGCGAAACAGTTTGGCGGCATGGCCACACGGCCACGCAAATGAATGACTGGCACTCTTGGTGTTGATCTGATGCTGAAGGAAGGAGATACCTTCATTTGTGAATCTTGAAGGCGCGACTGAACGAAATCATCAGAGAATCTGTAGAACAAGCAAACAGACCCCTGCAATCTGTGCAAGTTACACGAAGGATAACATATGACTTGCAGGAGTCCGCTTTGTGAACATGCCCCACAAGAGGGAACGCTTACACCAAAGAATCTGAGATCAACATGCCCGAACCCAACACAATTCAAAACATCCCAAAAGGGACTTGATGGTGTTTTTCCATAACAACCCCAAAAGGGCACACTCAACTGAGTCGCAATCAAAACCTGGTACAAAAATGGTCTAGCCCGAGTCATGTAAAGAATTAAGAAGGCGGCCGCAACTATTTCTGGCTGGGACCCCTTACTAACCTTCATCAATCCCCGGGCTTTGAGCAAGTGGCTCAACTGATCTCTCGTTTCAGGTCGCAAGAAGCTCAAACCTTGAAAACCCACTAGGCACCTGACAGCTGCAAAGTCGTCTGCGGGCTTACCACCCCTGGCAAGGCCAGTGGACCAGTGGACCAGTGGACACTGTATGTCTCAAGATATGAGGCCGAAAAGTTGTTGAGTGGTACGTATGCCTGGCCTCTTGGCAAAGGTTATTATGAAGAAGGATATTATAGCACAGAGACTGTATGTCTCAAGATATGGGGCCGAACAATTGTTGAGTTGCCTGACTTCAGTACGTGCCTGGCCTCTTGATAAAGGTTATTATGAAGAAGCATATTATAGCACAGAGACTGTATGTCTCAAGATATGGGGCCGAACAATTGTTGAGTTGCTTGACTTATTATAGTATGTATGCCTGGCCTCTTGGCAAAGGTTATTATGAAGAAGGATATTATAGCACAGAGACTGTATGTCTCAAGATGACAAATTGTTGAGTTGCCTGACTTATTACAGTACGTATGCCTGCCTCTTGGCAAAGGTTATTATGAAGAAGGATATTATAGCACAGAGACTGTATGTCTCAAGATATGGGGCCGACAAATTGTTGAGTTGCTTGACTTATTATAGTACGTATGCCTCTTGGCAAAGGCTACCCTGAAGAAAGACACACCGGAATCACGCTCTAAGTTGTGCACACATGGGCATGGTCAAACTCACTGTCATGAATATAAATCTGCTAAGGGGTCCACGGGCCCGACCAACCTAAATCAAACTGTGTTTTGACCCCGCACATGCTGCCGTCAGGTTGGGTGTTGACAAATTTAACATAGAGGTTCTGGATCTTTCTTGACATTCTGGCAACCGGCCGTTGCTATTGGTTGCTGCTGAGCTTACACAACATTTACTCATCTCGGATCCTGAGTGGGTTGGTCAGACTTGTGGCGACCACCGAAACTTGGTTGCTGCAACGTCCCCTCTGCAATTCAAAAGCTTCACCTTTTGCGGGTTCAATGGAAAATCCGCTGCTTCCCAAAAAACAAACAAGTCCCAAGATCCAGCCACATGTCCATAAAGAAAATTGCCCATGCCCAAAGTTTCAAGCTTCAGAAACTAGGCGATGGTATGGAGTAGCGCGATGCTAGCGGTTCAGGTCCCCCCAGGTACTGGTTACCACTGGTACTGCTTGCGCCGAGACCACAAGTCCGGCTAAAGGTCAGACAACTCCTTGGTTGACGGTGGAAGGGGAGCAAAAAATTAAGTCTTAGCAGTTCAGTGGATGTGGACTTCCCACTAAACCACAATAAGCAAAAATGGGAAAATATGTCCCATCAACGACCATGAAGCTGGGAAAGCGCGTCGGCCCGAATCCATCCCGCCTAGTCCAGAGCTCCCCACGAAGCCGCCATTCGAGCTTCGACCGGCTGAACCTGCGGAATCCATCGCCGGGCCGGCGGGCACGAAGCACGGGCTTTTCCTCTAGAGGTGGATTCCCGTTTTCCGGTTTTCGATGTGAAATCAAACCGAACACCATTTGGGCCCCCTAAAGAAGACACCCTCCCAACAAAATGAAGCCAGGAAAAAGGGCAACAATCTAGGGGTTGATTCCTTGTCCATTCTTTTCGATCATCGTTCTTTTCAAAAACCGATCGCCCTTTTCCCTGAAAATCTCCGGAGGCTTTCTTTTTTGGCTTGCTCGAGGGCGTTGCCTATCTCCAACCTCAACCCCCCGCAAGTCCTCTCCCCATTTCCGAATTTCAAAGTTCAACTCCACCTCCCAAAAGCAACTCAGAAAAAGAGTTCGCGGATCGCGACCTGCGCGCTTTTGACTCCCCCCCCCCCCGCATGCTTCTCCCCCCCGGTGGTTTTAAAGAGGAACAACAGCAACACATCTCAGACTCCAAGATGATGCAGCCCGGGTGGGACTCAGTGGCTTCTCTTCACTGGTCTGTAAGGAAATCCTCAGATCACGGATCGCGAACGGATATGAAGGTGCTCAGAAGGGAATCCCCCAAACCGGTTCATGCCCCGAATAAAGGAAACCAAATCTTACACGGACACGTTTTTTCTTTGGGGCCATTCCCCCTTGCTTATTCCCTATCCCACCAGCAAGCTGACTTCTATTTGCGTTTTAGAATATGTCTCTACTTTCCATTGTTAGTCCTGAAGGGAATCTAGTTATGCCTACTGGACACATGCTCTCATTTCTTCCAGGGGGGACCAAAACAACTGAATCAGGTTTTCTCCTCTCCACATGAACTCCACCAGAGAAATGGCTCAAAATCCTTTAAAGGAGAATCCCCCAAACAACCAAACCATCCTTGGAGAGGGAAGCTGAAGTTTCTTGTCCCTTCTGCTCTGTGTTTTCTTTTGGTTTGAGAAGGGTTTAATTAAAAATCAGACAAAAAGGCCACTGGGGGTCTTGCATCAAACCCTGGTAATTGGTATTGCCCTCCTGGAATCCACCAGAGATTGATGGCTCAACATTCCCTTTAAAGGCCGCCTCCTCGCTTCTCGTTTTTCGTCGTGTTTTTTCCTCCGAGCGCTTCGGCCGAGCGGGCAACTCGCGATTCGCCGCCTACGCTCTTCAGCAGCTTGGAGGACTCCATCACGGAGGCGGCCAAGGAGCTCCCGGAGCGCTCCACGAAGATCTGGTGATCCCCGCGGACCTCGAGGTCAGCGAGACGTCGACGTCTGCGACGTGACAGCGACGTCCCCGGACAGGGCTCCGCTTTTTGAAACAAACCAGGGTGGACTTAAAGCCAGGGATGGTTCGGTAGGCGCAAAAGTGGAAAAACCCAGGGGTTTCAATTTCTTGGGGTAGTCAAGAAGTGGAACCCTGGACCCAGATGTATCAGATGCTGCGGCTTTCGAAGGCAGGCGGCGTGGGGGTGAAGTGCTGAAACTCAAGCCTTGGTGTGGGCTTGCAAAAAACACTTAAGTTGGTTTGTTGCAGCCTGCTAAACAGCAACAGAACCAACAAAGAAGAACAACCAAGCACATGATCCAACAACAGTGAAGTTGCAGTTCTTCGGTGGCTTTGGAGGACCAAGCCCAGAACTCTCGGTGTGTGAGAAACAGATGAAGAAACTTGTCCACTGGAAGTTCCGGTGAAGATGGGAAAGAAGAACAAGACGAATGGGAAGAATATGGGAAACAGCAGCATTATTTTGCTGCCCTTGAATGTTTAGAATTAACAACTTCCTGGTTGATCAACCACCCCTCCCACCAACATGCATCCCACCAGAAGGTCTCCTTTTAAAGGAAAATGGTCTAAGCCAGAACCCCAGTCATATTCCATGGAGCCCGACCTTGGTCGGTTCCCACGTCCTCAGAAACCGGACAAACCGCCGGCACTCAGCCGGCACTCAGCCGCCCGGAACGAGCTTGCCTCCGCACCCTTGCGGGGCATGCTCTGCAGGGAACGGTCGCCATAGCCCCCCAAGGGCCGCATGCGCACGCAAGGCGCAAGGCGCAAGGCGCAGGCGTGCGGCGCGAAGGCGTTTTGGAAGGCACGGCACGGCCGGTGTCCGGATTGTCTTGAGGGTGTATCAAGCGGTTGTTTTGTTGAGTTGTCTTGCTGTTGGTTTGCTTTTGTTGGCCGTATCATGTCGTCTCCTTTGTTGGCTTTGTTACGGGGATCTTGTATTTGTGTCTTTGTCCTGTATCAATGCAATTAAGTTGCGCGATGGCGTTTTTCATGCTGGCGCCTCTTTGTCGTGGCCCCCGAAACAGGTTTCGAGTGTTCACTAGGGACCCAAAGTGGTCGGGGTTCTCATCTCTCGACAAGATAGCCATTTCGGGGCAAACCATGGGATGCAGCGATGTCCAAAATTGGAGAAGTAACGCTTGTTGACGAACCCGGCCTGGCAGCACAATGTGAGCAACAAGTGTAAGATAGGGGACCGATAAGGGGCAGCCACATCGCCAAGTGCAATTAGGATACGCACCTACAAAAAGGAATGCGCAATGTCTTGTTTTGCCTCTGCCTGAGCTCGTACCCTCTGCGAATCTTTGCAACCTGATCCATGTATAGCTCATCGCTCAGATAAGCGACCAATCGATCAATCTGAGCTGCAGGTTGCGACGGATTGCTGACCACTTCAAATTTGACTTTTGGCTACGGAACAGCGATTGATCTTTCTTGGCCCGAATCTGGAGTACACAGAAATCATATTTTCCGACTCTCCAGGAAATCTGCCCAATCAAGGGCCTCAACGAGGTCTCTGTCTTGTGTTGGAGAGGGGGTTGCGTCCAACATTTTGAGCACACACTTGGCTCCGTATGTTTCCTCTTCAAACATCACCCACCACACGAAATCTCAGTTCTGCCCCAATGGGGGTCTTGTTCTAGGGCACACCCAAATTGTCGGTTTCCCTGTTGCTGTCCCTTCAAACCAACAAACAAATGGTACCAACTCCAACATTGACCACGAGGTCTTGTTTCAAACAGCAGCACAGTGATTGATGCTTCTGCTTCAAACATCACCCCACCAAAAGAATGTTCACCTCAGTTCTGCCAAAATGACTCAAAGGCTACGTTTCAACCCGCCGGGGGACATCTAGAACCTGACACACCCATTGCGGAGCTCTCTCCTTTTTGGCCGTGCTCTTTGGTCACGCCTCCAGCGCTGCCTTCTGACTAAACGGCCAACAGCAGCAGATACGACGGAGGTTTCAGGGTACACATCTGATCACATCTGCGCGCACAAAGCGTGAGTGTTGTTTGGCGCTTGAATTACAGAAAACAATGTAAGACCAACTAATTCGCTTGGCGCTTTGATTGTTCGTATACTTGGCAACAAACTAATTGGTTTACAGAAGAAAAAGAACGGCTTTGCATGGTGCTTACATGTACTTGCCTCCTTCGGTCAGGGGCTGACATCATTGCCCCAATACCGCAAGCAAACGGATGTTTGAGTCGGGGGAACACGCTTTTTGTCTCTTCAATAACGTCCCAAGCTAGTAGGCTATGGAAGGGGTATTCCAAACACACAACTGTTGCAGCCGCCCACAAGGCTTGGGCCAGGGCTATCTCAAAGAAACCCATTTTGGGGGGCTAAGAGACATCTGATCATTTGGGTCTTTGTTCAAATACGACATTGTGTTCAATGTTTAACTAGGTCCTCCAGTAGAGAGATTAGAATAAGGGCACCCTTTTTTCTGTAGTTGTTTTTAGTAGGGGAATCCTCCCCCCAAAAAAGGGTAAAAGGGGCGCTACCGGGGGACCTAGTTAAAGAGAACCATGTTTTCAAGGGCTGAACCCCAAATTTCAACTGCTTTGGCTGCAAATGGATCGTTGACCGCTGCCTCGAGTCGAAAGCAGCGCTGTGCGGTTCCAGTGGCTTGAGCAAGCTTCGGCTCAGCCTGGAAGTCTAAACTAGTTGCTGCCTCATGTCCTTTTGGTTGAAAATCGATGGGTTCCGTTGGTTTGTGGTTCCTTGGTCCAACCACGGGTACACCTCATACACCTCTCTCGACTGGAGCCCAAAGTATGGATGGGAGTCAAAGCACTTAAATTGATCAAAAACTGAAACCGGCGGAACGCATCTTTCAACCAAAGTGACCTAAAAGGACACCTATGCTCGCTTGCTGCTTCACCTGCACGGAAGATCACGGAAGTGGGTGTGAATTTGAATGGGTCCCGGACCCTTTAGACATCATTCAGGTGGCTCGTGAAGTGGTGCCCCATTTAGAAACCTCAGCCAAATGGACATTTCCACGAGTCTCATCTAGAAACGATTGACATCTTCCTTGACGATCGTATCTCCATGGACATATGCCAATCCGCAAGCCATGAGCAATCGGCACACATCATATAACCCACATTCGTGCGCATTGGCTCCCAAATGCAGCCTCGTCAGGGGTTTTAGACACTTATGTGGCTATCCACCACAAGCATTGGACAATCCGCATTTCGGCCCCTGGATTTGTGGTTTTCACTTTAACGAGAGGCTCCATGTCCCGAACTCCGGTCTGACTATAGACTCAGGAACTTGTTCAAAGCTCGCTTGATCAAATACAGTTGGGAGAAAATAGATGGCGCAACTTCCCATCTGACTATAGATCCACCACAAGTTCCCATACTTACCCACTGCAAGGGAAGTGTGCCATCCATTTTTACGCTGGTGTATTTTTCAGTCAGCACTTTCCCTTCAACTCCAACAGTTGGACAAGCACACAAATCCCACCAGCGCAATCGAGTACATCAGATCCGGGTCACGCCTCTACCCCGAAACCAGCAAACACCAGGGAACAAATATTGTACACCTACGAGTGTTTCACAATCAGCCTGGTACGAAATTGCCTACCCCAAGAACCAAGTAGAATCAAACGGTCACATATCCCCAGCCATTTCTAGGGTTGGGACTGTACGTAACCTTCACTTGAATCGATCTTCGTGCATTCGCCAAAAACTTGAGACTCCTCTAAGCGGCTTCCGTCTTGGTGGTGTTGAGTGGTGCCTTTTGCAGGTTGTGGAATGATCAAACGAAAGTGCTGCCCAATCCTCATCCACCATACCTATTGAAAAACCACTCAAAAAGGATCAAACCCTTACCCAAAGTAAGTATCTTGCGGATTGAACGCCCCGACTTTCCGGTCTTGGTTTTGGGTATGCGCGAAAAGACGTCGAACCCAATGGCAGTTTCCTCTTGGCTTCCCTTCAGCCCCCCAAAAGAGGACCGAGCCTCAAAGAAAAACACACACACACACACACCCACACCCACACACACACACACACACCGACACACACGCCCACACCGCACTTGCTGAGTGGATGGGCCAAAAAGCAGCTCCCACTTTTTGTCCACACAAATGGTAACCCAAATCCTGACTCGAGTCCGAAACTGAACTCAGGCAGTGAGTTGGAGGTGCACGCGCACACGCACCATCTGGTTGACTTCCATTTGCTTAAGCCTTTGGAGAACATAAAATACTTCCAGACCACCAGAAGGGAAAATAACACATATTCTTCAGCAAATGGAAGCTTTCCGGGCATTGTTCTAGAAATCGGCGTTAACCTGAGATCTGAGTGGTTTCTCAAACGAAGGATGGGCAAATTTCTAAGGGTTGATTCCCCATTCTTTTCAGCCATCGTTCTTTTCAACAACCAGCCAATTCCCCAGGATGTTTGGTGGTTTTCTGGAAAGAAGGATCCCTGGAAAGAATGGGTAAGTTCCCAAAAGAAAAATGGTTTCTTGAGCAAATGGGAGTTGAACAAGTTTGCTTCCCATTTTCTGACTCCGACTCCCACTCCGCCTCCGACTCCGTGCAGGGCCCTCCTGCGAAGGCGCGCGAATCCAACCGCAGACATGGATGGCTGGTCTTTGGTAGATGTTTGGATTGGTGTTTTAAAGGGAAACCAAAAGAAAAACCATGCACCTTTCTTTCTTTCTTGCTTTATTTCTTTCTTTCTTTCTTTCTTTCTTTCTTTCTTTCTTTCCTTCTTTATGTTTCTAGTTTTTCTTTGCTCTGATTATATTTTATTTTTTGTGGGGGGGCCGGGGGGAGGGGGTGCTCCAAAAGAAGAACCTGGCAACGTGTCAGATTGTTGTTTGTCTTCGAGACTGTTTTGTCGAACCTTGAAAGCACGTGTAACCGGCACTTCCTTGGCCACTAAAAGCCGTTTGCCGTTTTGGTATTGAAAGTGGGATGTAGGAACCCCGCTTCTGATAGTCAATACACGGTTCCCCCCGAAGCGAAATGCATGAAGCCCTTGCAGCCACCTGGGTACACAAACAATGATGTTGTCTGAATCTGTTTCATACAATGTACATAGTCTGCCCTAAAATGTAAAATCGCTTTGGAGGAGACCTGAGTGACTCTGACACTAAGATCCAAACAACATGAAACTAAGATTAGCTTCGAATTCATCCTAAAGGGACCACTCATGAGGAACCCTCTGCGAGAAGGAGAGCCGGTGTGTTTGCTCAAAACAGAATAATCCCAAGCATAATTTCAGAACCCAAAACACAAATATTTGTTTCACTTTATTCATTGTTCCGATCTTTTCAAACAAAAAAAACACAAAACACAAGTCATATGGCCATGGGTCAAAATCCCGTACCCCCAGTGAACATCCCAATCCAACCACTAAAATAGGTTATAAAATGGGTGGTGCACCTACCCCAAAATGGGATCCCATTGGTTTTAACCCATACCCATATTGTTAAAACAAATCCTCGGCGGACATTGCGTCAATCAAGACAAACCTGGGCTGCCCTCACATCCCCTGCTAAAAGTGACTAACCTTTAGTGGGTCAAATGGAAACCCAACCACTAAACACTAAAAGTCTAAAAAGCTAAAGAACCGGATGGCTGGGAGCCACCAAGAAACGCAACGGGGGCTCCTGGAAAAAATTGAACCAAATATATATATATATATATCTGTATGTATATATATATATATATATGTATATATATAATATATATATATATATCCAGTAGTGATAGATTCCCTTTAAAACCAAAGAAAACACAATCTTAAGCAGTTAGAAGTTGCGTCAATCAAAACAAACCCAACGGGGGCGAACCGATCTTTCGCTCGTCCTCCAAGGCCAAGGCCGCCCAGGGCAGCAGCAGCCCCATCTCTGCCTTCCGCACTCCTCGCAAAGCGCTCAGAACCGGCGCCGAAAGAGAAAAACATGTTCATGCAACAAATTAATGCAGTACAAATGGGTGTGCATGCAAATATGTTCTGCCAGATGGGCGTGCCTGAATTGTTGAGAGTACCCGCAGTCTCCATGAGCCTTAAACACATGGGGTTATTACTCACAGACTTTTGATCAACCCTCATTTGGGTGTGTCGCTTCTTGAAGGTACCCTTTCTGTTGCTTTCTAAGGGAAACCAACCTACAACACCACCATTTTGGCTCAACATATGCTCAGATATAGGTGTGTCTTTTCTTGAGAGTGCCCGCAGTCTCCATGAGCCGGACAACATTGGGGTCATTACCCAGAATAAACGGGGTCATGGAGACTCCAGGTGTCATGGTTGAAAATGCTGACAGCCCATGGAGGGAATTCACCTTGCCCTTGGGCGTCCTTCCCTTTTAGCCAGTGATTTTGGGGTCGATCAAAAGGTCCTTTACATGGGGGGTGACCATTCGGGAAACCACCAAAAATGATGCCTTTCACTACCAAATGGGAAAAGTTACCCATGGTCATGTTGGGGCCAGGAATATCAATCAATCCCCATATGGGTGTGTTCTTTTGAGGGTACCCCTTTGTTGAGGTGTTGAAAGGGAAACAAACAGGAAACCCTCCATTTTTGGGGCCCCTAAACAAATTAACACGGAACCCCCCAACACCCGCTATTTTTGAGGAGACTCCATTTTGGAACCTCCCCAAATGGGTTCCATGTTAAAATTTGCAGAGGAAGATGTTCAGATTCTATGGGCCTTTCTCAAGGGACCGTGGAGTCTTCCCTTTGAAGGGGACTTGGCTAAACCGCGGGTTCCATAGCTTCATGCTCTTGACCCATGCAATCCAAAAAATGTGATCTTCAGATCCAGTTTCATCTCGTTTGTCTGAAAGCTAGTCCTAAAAACATGTAAATTGCCTTCTGGCTTCCCCAGAAAAAAGTCACGCAACAGGAGTTTCCCTGAAAAAGCACACACACATTTAATCTACCTCAAAATATACACACAGCTTCGGAGGCCCGAAGCACGAGTTCCAAAGGCTTGGTCAGGAAAAGTCCGTCTCACCCACTTTGGAGCCTCGGACCCCCGAATTGCGGGAAGCAAATGATGAAGGGAAAAGGAATCCAACCCTCAAAAGCCAGGAAGCAGGGCATTTAGCTATGGGATGCGGGATGTGTCAGTCATGGCCCCTTTGGGGCTCTCTATCATAAGCGTGGCTAAGGCCAAGATAAGCGCCTAGTGAGGCAACATGTGGGTCGGACGTTTCCTGTGGGTGCCAATAAATCAATGGTTGCCCTTGGATCGATTCAAGATTCCGTTTGGTTCCATTGATGAGCCCTCAGTTATCTTTCCTCTCCTGCCTGTCCCGGAGTCCCGATTTCCAGAAGTCCCGCTCTCGGGCCCCCGCGTGGTCGGAGAGTCCGAGAGGGCGACAATGAGAGCTCACCCAGCGGCAGGTCCTCACTCAAACCCCTGGACCCCCAGAGTTCCATTGGAAAGAAGTACAACACCTCACGACCCGCAAAAAAAATCACCCGAAGCAAGGGGAGACCACCCCGTATTGTAAGGGCAAACACTCATATGAGTAGCTTTCGACCAAAGATAAACTCTGGTGGGAGGGTTGCCGAAGGAGCTTCCTGTTCAGGGAAGCCTGTTCACGTGTCATGTTGGGAGGATGTCTTTGCATGTGTCAAAGCGGGAATTCGGACCCCTGGGTTCACTTAAAAACCCACCGACAAAAATCGCACCCTCCAAAACAAAAGCACATACACGCAAAACACAGAGACACACACACGCACGCACGCACGCACTCACACACACACACACGTTTATAGGCTTTGTTCATTCATTGCAGGGACCTGCCGCGTAACGCCTGGTGAAAAAACACAAACATGAGCCGACAAATCCAGGCGCGCAACAGCGAAGCTCCGAAACAAACCGTGCGATTCCGGGGGGCTGGTTTAACCGGCCTGCGTTCTCCGGTGGGAGAATACGCCTGCGCTACAGCTTGCAGATCTCTAAGGCACCCTCATGAGCTTGATCGCAGATATGTTCAGGTGCTGAAATCCCAGGTAAGCGGAAGGTAAGACACGGAAAGGTTCTGGCTTGTGTCTATATACCCTATGAAATGTCAAATAGCTTTGCATGGACATATTTTTTTAAGGAGCTCCCCCCAACAGGATCGTTGGACTGTTTCCACTGTTGAGAGGGGGGGGGGGGGAAAGCAAGTGCAACATTAGCTTTGGACATATCTCTGGAGGCCCAACAAATTCCAGCGGACCGCAGGTTTTGGTCCATGGTTCCACTTACCAGGGTTTCATATTTCTACAGTTTGGGAGCCTCGCCCCCAAATCCAGCGACGAAACGTCGTTGCTGGCGCAGCTCTCGGCTCGACTCGACTCGCGCTCCGCGCGCCTCGTCCCAGGAGATCCATTTCACCGGCGCTTGCCGCAGCTGATCGCTGGACCGCCGCCCGTCGCTGTGGGACCTGGCCCAAAAATGGAGGCTGGGGCCTTCCACCTTCTTGGTTGCTGCAACGACGCCCTGCAAAAGTTGCTTTCACCTTTTTTTGGGGGGGTTTAGTGGAAAACCCAACTTGATTTCAACCAAAAAGTCAAAGTCGAAAGATCCAACCAAAAAGCAGTCAAGCTTTTAGGGAACCACACACTGGGTCTCGTCCTTTTGCGTAAGTCCCACGGCATAGTGCCCCGTTGAGGCAGGCACAGCACAAGGACGCTCTGATGGCCAGAAAGAAAGAAAGTCCCATGGAAAGAATGAGAACATATTTCTGAGTAGTGACTGCTTGACTTTGAAAGCAGGGGACAATAGCAAATATTATGAAGCAAATGGAAGGTGTTAGGAATACCCAGCTTCCCTCCAATTGGTGGTCATGTTGAGTCATTAGACAAGTCTTAGCGGTTGTGTAGCCCCTCATACTAGGCCAAATTGAGTGAGGAGGCAATACTGCAGTACTGATCGTAGTATATATGGTGGCTATAGGAAGGAACATGTACGGCGGTTACAGTATGATCATGGGAGGCATTCTTCCCCGACCGAACTTCTTTCGAAGCTTTCCCACCCTTTGCATGAATGGTTGCCAACAGCTTTGCTTATTTGCAGCCACCCACTAAGAATAACAAAACCAACAACGAAACACATTTTACATGTTGACCGTGAAGCAAGCCCGCCTCAAGAAGCCCCCCATCACTTTCTGGGGCCATGACTGAATATGGACCAACACTAAGAAAACCAAAGCTTTGGTTGCAAGTGAGCTTCAGGGTGCCCCAAATTGGGTGAGTCTTTTTGGTGAGGCTGGAAAAAAAGGGAGCAAACCCATCTTGAGAACCCCGGCCATATTTCTTTCTACCCTCCCTCCAACTATGGCATCTGACACAAAAGCCCTCCGACAGGAAATTGATCCAGGCCCCCTCCCAGGGCGCTAGGTTGAAGGAAGGCTCGTTCCTCTACTGGGCTGTCCTCAGATCCTGCTAAAAGTTCTCAACTTTTGGTGGCTTAGCTGGAAACCCAACCACTTTACCGACTAAACAGGCTAAACGGCTAAGGAACCGGATGGCTGGGAGCCAAGTCTAGTTCCTTTAAGTTCCTTTTGGCTAGGTCCTCCAGTGGAGAGGATAGAATAAGGGTACCATTTTTTTCTGTAGTCTATTTTAGTAGGGGACCCCTCCCCAAAAAAAGAAACGGTAAAAGTTGGCACCTAGCTAGGGGACCTAGAATAGGCTGGACCCTCAAACATCCAACTTGCAGATGGTTGCTTGCCCCAACATTTCGGAGAAATCCAAGTTAAAGTCCTAACATCCAAGCAACATGCAAAGAAAAGGGGTGTGCAGCTGGGGGACCTAGTTGGCCTTGGACCAAATTTTTCGCCCGCCTCAGGGCTCCGCTCTTCTCCCGGCTGGTCGCCGTCATGGGGCGCCGTTCCCGCGCTTCCCGCGCGAGGGAAGCCGCCCGCGGAGCGGCGAGCGAGGTGCAGGACTGACCTGGGACGGGGCAGGCTGGGGGGCTGGGGGTACCCTGACAAAAAAAAAACAGACCCGTGTCCTTTTGACCCCGTTTTTTTCTGGACCAGGTGGGCATACCTCGAGTAGATATCTTTGTTCAAATACGACATTGTGTTCAATGTTTAAACTCGTCTGCGCTCAGATCCCCCACTAAAAAAAAAACTTTTAGTGGGTTAAATGGAAACTACCGATTTTTTAGGACCAGATTGGCATACCTAGAGAGCATCTGTCGAATCAGGTCTAACAAGGACCCTGGAATGGCGCAGCTGCCGTGGGTTGAAGCAGAGAACTTGATCTTGAGCCAAGCTCAGAAGATTTGGTTGGTCAGCTTTAAAGGCAAAATACTCTATAGTTTCCCCTACCCCAAACCACCCCCAAAAACTCTGTGACCCTGTACAGGTTACATACGACTTTTTTTCCAGGGGGCAGTGTTTGGGGTAGCGGCGAGCTTTTTGTTTAAAATGGTCTTCCCCAAAAGTAGTCTCTGCGAATAATTAAAAGCAACCCTGTCTTACGATAAAAAACAGACACCCAAAACACCCGGCAGACCCCCAAAACACCCCAACCATCCCGAAAAGCACTCCTGACCACAGAAACACCGAAACAGGCGCGTAAAACCCCCTACCCAATCCTGTCTTACGAGAACTTTCAGTTTTTTTTCCAAGAGGCTCTCCTCCCCGCGCAACATGCAGCTGCCCGCATTGCGCAGGAGCTCGCGTCGTTCGGGACGCTCCTGCCGGGTGACCGGGGTGGTTGCCAAGTCCTGGTTTGAACACGTTTAAATTGTCTCCTGGTGGTTTCAAAAAAAATGCCATCTGGTTCAGACATTCTGTGCGAAATCCTGCATCACTTGAGTGCTTCCATTCAAAGGACTTCATCGATCCAGCTGGTGCACGATGTCATCCATCGACGGTACGGGAATGAAACTTAATTCGGAACCTTGTCGTCTACATCATTTGGCTGGGGTTTTCTGTACATCAACCACTTTTGATGTGTATCTTTCTGGGTTTCAACTGCTGGATTTCACGAGTTGATCCATGGCTTGAACAACCTCCGAACCTTCTCTTGGTTTTCCTTCAAAGGGGACCAAGTGGTTGATGATTCTTCGGACTGGGAGGGGTTGCCCTCTGCTGAGCCTAAGCTGGCAATCCCAAACCCACGGGTGGCCCCCCCTTTTTTTTCCGGGAATTTTGTGTTCAAATGAAACTAAAACACGACCATTTTGGGAGGTCCGCCAAACAACAGATCCAGATATCCTGCGAAGATCACCAAAGAAAACTCACAAGTTGGCCCACAAGAAGATGTGGAAAAAGGGAATCTAGGGAATCCTTGAAATTAATTCCTAGTTACCTAGCTGGTAGATTGGATTGTGGTTTGGATTGGTTTGGATTTGGACTTGAACCCTTGGTTCTTGTGGGTAGATGAGAGCCCCAGCTAAACACTATTCAATCCAACCGCCAATTAGGGGGAGCTGAAAAAGGTGGTTGTCCGTTTGTGGCTTGGATCTATTTCTTGTGGATGGTTTGCTTCAGATGCTTAAGACCTGTACAACCCTTGTATAGCACAACGCATTGTTATTGCAGCCCCCTACTAAAAACTAACAGAGCCAACAAACAAAAAAGCCTACATCGAGGAGACCAAAATTGGAAATCTCGGGAACCCTGCAAAATGGAAGGCAGAAAATCCTGCCCGTTCTTAAGCCGCCTGGAAGCGCCGCAGGGGCGATGTAAAGCCTGCAGGCGGCGGGCGCGAGGCAGAGGCAGGTGAGCTCACACTATCCACCAGGAATTGATCCTTTTCCTGATGTTCCTCCAAGAGGTTCTTTGGTCGCTTTCTAGAGCAGAAAGCAGCCTAGAACAGCCACTGTTGCCCCACTGCTTCTCTTGCATCCACCTTTTTCAGCTCCCGAAAACTTGTGGTTTGGATTGTGGTTGGGGGGGGGGGGTCTTTCATTGAAATCCAAATCGAAGGCACCAATCTAAACTTGAGCATTAATTCAAGGATGTCCTAGATTGCCTGTGTTCTTGGTCTTAAACTGGACCGGTTGGTCCATTTGTTCCTGCCCCTGGCTTTGTGCGGAGTCTAGCATACCGCAGAATCAAACCTGAGGACAAATGATACAGTTTTTTCTCCAACAAGGCTGTCTTCAAAGGACAACCTTGCAGTGGCACTGATACCTTCGATTCTTCCTGGGGGCCGGTCAAAGAAGAGCGTCGCCAAAATTATCCAAACCCAAAAATGACCAAAGTCCATAAACTCAAGGAGTGAGACCAGGCAAGGGGTACGAGTACCGAATACAAGGATTCCTTGTCGTTTGCCAGGCTGCCTGAATCTAATTCTTGAAGAGTCATGCAACCGACACGGCCATCTGGTCCACGGTCAGTGACTCCTGAATGGGGACTTGAACTCCTGGCTCGTGGAGCAATCCGGAACACCTCTAAACCACCGACTAGAGGGGAGCTGATACTTGGCCCACACTCGGGGTACACCCAAAAACATGCTCCGCGATTCTGTTTCATGGTTGGTCAACCTAAACATATCGTAATGTGTGTTGGATCAGACCCCAGGCCAGGTTGGTGTCCTTGACCTTGACTAAATTTGCGTAAACCCCTGGGAAAATAACATATGTCCAGTAGTGATAGATTCCCTTTAAAACTAACAAGGGAAAATAATAATAAAAAAACATAATCTCACTGGCTGAGTGGATGGCCCAAAAACAGTCCAAACTTTATATTTACCACACAAATGGTCTTCCCAAAAAGTTTAAAGTTCATGAACTCAGGAAGTGAGTAATATTCTTAAGCAAATGGACGCTGAAAAGATGTCCATTTCGGGTAGAAAGCCGCCACCGAAGCCAGCAACTCCCTAGGCCTGTGGGTGAGCTGGGGCTGGTCGCCAGGTAGGTGGTCTGCCCAAAGGCCACGACCTGAGCAGCGCGTCTCAAGTCGGTCATCTCACGGAAAGACGGGGGTGAAGGGTCCAACACTTAGAGTACATGGGGTCCGACACTTGGAGTATAATACATATGTATACGAATACATACATGTGTTAATTAACTTTAAGAAAAAGACAACACCACAAGTCGGGAACTCTTTTTCTCTCACAAAGCGGGAGGCAAGGAGGCAACCGACTTGTCTTCCACCATTTGGAGAAGCAAACTCGGCCAGTTTCCCCAGCGCAAGGGTTGGCCAACTGAGCGAGGAAGACGGGCACGAGTCGCCAAGAATCCAAAAACAATACCCTGGGCTGCGCCGTTTGGAACGCTTGGAACGATTCGAACTTTTCGAACGTTTCGATCGTCTCGAACGTTTGGAACTGTTCGATCGTTTTGAACGTTTCGAACTTATCGAATGGTTCGATTCTTTGAAGCTTCTGAGCGTTCCAAAGTGTTCGCGGCCGAAACAGGCCGAGGGAGATATTCGCGGCCCAAACAAGCCGGGGGAAATGTTCGCGGCCAAAACAGGCCGGAGGAAGTTGTTCGCGGCCGAAATGGTCTCGACCCAATACCCTAAATGAAGGAGGCTACAGAGTGGAGGGGTGTCCTCCAATTCCAGGTCCCCTCCCTCCCACGTTGCCACGGCACCTAGAGAAATGGTCCCTTGAAGAGGAAACAGATCTTCCAGGTACCCTCCCACAAATGCTATGTTCGTTGGAGGAAGGGTCAGTCTTCCTCAAGGGGAAGGATCCTCCCCCACCCAATTTCAAGGGGTGGGGATCCAAACAATTCGTTCGCCAAATGTTCCCGCTTTGGGCCCCAAAAGTATCATCATTGACAAGGTGTGCAACTTGTGACACGTTCCCGCTTTGAAATACATAATTGGATGACAAAAAGCCATTCTCTTCAAAGGGCTTTACCCAAGGGAGTCTCACGCTTGCAGCCAACTTTACGGTTTTGTTCTTCCTCGCACAGGGTGTTGAGCGAACCTTCAACAGGTCGCGCAGACTGGGAATTTTGGAGTCCGCCCACAAACAAAATCAGTTGCAGCACATTTAGAAAGGGACCTGAAAAGGGGGTTGGTTCGCTTTCTTTTTGGGGTTATCCCCCCCCTCTTGACGCACGGCAAGCGTTCTTTTGGTTTGCCCCCGCGTCAACTTGATTATCTCTGGCTTCCCAAGCAAAACCCTTTAACCAAAACCAAGAAGTTATGCCAGTGCTTTCCTCTTGGCTTGCCTGCAGTACTTCCTGCATCGCGTCGTTTGTTCTGTCAGAGTCGTTGCCTCTTGATCTCCCTTTGAACCGAGAAGCTTGCAAAGGTGCTTCGTCCCATCCAGTTTCGTAGGGACGTGTTTTTTTGTTTTGGTTTGATCTCAACAATGGCACCACCAACCAGTGAACAAATGTTTCAGGAGTCGTATCCAGCACAACCACAAATAGTGGGTTCCAATGATGAATACCTGCCGCTTGAGTTCAACAAGTGCCTGGAATTACTGGACCTCTGGACACCGACAAGTTTAGGTCACCATTTTTACGCAGCGGTTCCGTAGGGGTTAAAGGAAGCCAAGGGGAAAGCCGTCAGTTCTTATTTGGGCATGAATTCCGGACCCTTTGATGGACATCCGAATTTGGTGGGGGTTCATGTCCACCAACCACTTTTGAGGTGCTTCCATATCAATAAAACATATCACAATATCCTTTGGAGCCCGCAATGGTTGCATTTAACAGAGAAGGCCTTTCTTTTGTCCGAAATCGACCCTTAACAGCATCAGATACTGACATCCATAGCTAGGTCCTCCAGTAGAGAGGTTAGAATAAGTTGGTACCAACTGTTTCCTGTAGTCTATTTTAGTAGGGGGTTTCCCTCCCAACCAAAAAAGAAACGGTAAACGTTGGCACCAGCTGGGGGACCTAGATAGCCGTATCTCACCGCACGCGCTTCTGCATGGATCGCGTCCCCTCGGCTAAGGCCCCGGGCGCGTTGCAAGAGATCCCTCCGCGGCAGCTCGGGCGCCTCACGGAGTCAGCGCGGCGCTCTCTGGGCATGGGTCGGTGGCTGTGGGCGAATGTTGACCCCAGAACCCACCAAGCAGTTTTGGTACGGGGGGTGCTTTTTCGGGTGAAATGTGGGGAACCAGACCCGTGTTGATAAACTGGGGTTATGTTGATATGGGAATGAATCAGACCTCAGAATCAACCAACCAGTTTATTTCTGGGCTGCCCGTTTTCAGATCCTCCGCTAAAAGTGAATAACTTTTAGTGAGTGAAATGGAAACTACCACTAAACACTACAAGGCTAAAAAGCTAAGGGGATGGCAGGGAGCTACCAGGATTAGGGGGGGGTTGCTTTGGGTGACATGTGGGAATCAGACCGCTTTTGGAGGGGCCCCCACCGCCTTATGAATAAGCTGGGGTTGACTAATATGGGGTCAACCTTGCTCAGGGGTAAGGTACATTCCCTCCCACCAATGACCATGGCGTCCTTTGGATTTCAAGACTTACTGACCACTTGGCACCCAGAGTTTGTTACGCCGTGTCAAAAGCTCCTGGTTCCTGAACCTAATTCTTACGCTCCCAGCACATAACACGGAACCTGACTTTCTGGGGGGTCCGGGTTTGGACCACGTTTCTTTTGAAGGGACCCCCTGTCAGCTTCCGGTTGTTAGTTGGTGGGAGGCTACCCCAAACCTCCTTATCTTTGTAAATGGCTTATGGCGTTGCGGGGTAGGTCCATCTGCAAATTTTAGTTGCTCACCTGAGACCAAAAGCGAGCTCATCGGTGAAGGACCTTTGCTTGCATATCCAGTTATAATTTCCTGCTTTGGAACTATTGCTAACGTGTGCAGTTCCATGGTCTTTCTTTCAGGTTACCCATCTTTGAGGTGATTGCTTGGGAAAACAAAAGGAGCACCGCCCATGTTGCTTTTATTTGGGGGGGTCCAAAATAGGAAATACTACGTATCCCGCTTTGGCAACCACCAAGCCGATCAACAAGCTTTGATTCTAAACAACTTAGCCAAGCAACCAAAGAACCAAAGGACCAAATAACCAAAGGAGCGAACCAACGAACAAGCCAAGACTGCAAATAACCATGCCCGCAACCAAACATGTATGCAAGCACATGACCACGCAAGCCAACAACCACGTAATCAAGCAAGGGGGTGATCAAGCAAACAACCAAGCCACCCGCAGTCAGGAAATTAACAAGCAAGTGGGCATCCGCTCGAAGTGAGCAATCCAAATGCTCCAAACACAAACGTGCTCCATAAAAAGAGAGTTTCACTCCCAACAAGGGAAGCTGACAGAAAGAAAATTAAACACATTCTACAAATAGCAAAATTGGTCTCCTGTCCGCTTCCGTGATTGGTGGAAAGAGGATTCCTTGATGGGCTTTGATTGTGGTGGACCCCTTGAATTTGGAGAATCCTCACTTATAAATGTGACGCCCGCATCAAGGCCGATGTTCCCGAAACGGGCCCCAGTCACTGCTCATCAAAGGCTCATTGTATACATCCATATGTGAACCTGTGGCCATTTTGGACTTTTTGGGACTGATTTCCCATCAAGCCAGACATGACGGTTAACTAATCCATAAACTGGTTCATACCAAGGGTTCATATATGGGCCTATGCATTCAGCCTTAGAGCTCAACCGGGCAAACTTGATGATCAGTCCCAAACTGGAATAAGGGAACCGTCCAGCAACGGATCTTCATTGGAGCTCTCTTTCTTCCCAAGTGAGCTTCTAATTTCCCCAGACTCAAGGCAAGCAAATGGGTCTGACCCAAAAAAATCGCACCGAACCTCGAAGAAGGCACGCTCAAATGCGGTCAGAACAGAGTTGGATGCCCTCCTTACGGGAATTCCCCGGTGGTGCCGCCACTTCCGGGCCCCAAACCCACTAATCTATGCGGGAAAAATCACTACTCATAGAATCATGGCTAAAGTTGGTTTTAAGGTATTTGCGTAAACACATTATAGCTGTTTCGGCCCTTATGTTGCTGGTATTGTCAGTGACTCGGGCGAAGCAGGTCGGCTCCTGCGGCTTTCAAAAAAACAACCAACCGTCAGCATCGGTCACCAGGCTCAAACAGTTTCAGGTTGACCCCTGATTCATAAACCTTGCAGCAGGGCAGGCGGGCTTGGATGCAAGCTTTGTGTAAATCTTGCAGTCATTGATCAGGAGCAGTGGATGGTCATAGAGCTGACATATCTCACTTCCCAAGTGGATGGTCCAAAAAACCTGCACTTTTTGGTGGACACAAAAATGGTCGTCCCAAAAAGTATACAGTCCAGGAACTCGGGGGGTGAGATATTAACCTGAAGAATCCCCCCACAAATGAACTAATGCTCCATTTTAGTTGGCTTGCCACCCCTGATTCGTCCGGTCCTCCTTTTGACTAACCCGAAGCTGACATTCATGTTGAAATTGCTTCCCAAACGGGGGGAACGTGCCCCACGGAAAAAAGGAAGCTCGCTTCAATGCTTGGCCAAGACGCGTGTTAAAACCAGACCAAACAACAATTATCACAAAACACATGGTTCAACCACACCCCCTCTCCAAAAAACGAGTGGACAAAAGGACCAAACATGTTTTCCGACCCCGCTGGCTTCCCCCATTTGAACATCCCGACAAACTCTTCCACTTGCTTAGGCCCCCAGGACAAAAAGGAAACAGTGATGGATTCGCTTTAAAACCAAAGAGAAAATAGGGCGTAGAGAAAAATGGAGAGAAAATAAAAACCAAACCAAACAGAGAGAAAATAAATGTTCGTTTCGGAAAGAACTGGGAACAGCCCTTGGGGGTTGATCAATATTCCTGGCCCCCTAATCGTATCATCTGCTTAGTCGTTTTTGCAGCCAATGGTCAGCCCATGTAAAGGACCTTTTGATCAATCCCCATTTGAGTCATACTCAAAAACCGGTGTTCAAATGGGGTTGTAAGAAAACCCCGTGACCTTTTAATTGACCCTCAACACCGTTATCGTTTTTCTTTCTTCCTTATCGTTTTACAGGTAATTGGTGTTGGATGATAATTCTGTAGTAAAAAAGAAGTAGCAGCAGCAGCAGCAGTATCAGTAGTAGTAGTAGTAGTAGTAGTCGTCGTCGTCGTCGTAGTAGTACTAGCTTCTTATAAAGCTCCTTACAAAGCTTCTTCTAAAGCTTCTTATAAAGCTTCTTATAAAACTTCTTCTAAGCTTCTTATAAAGCTTCTTCTAAAGCTTCTTATAAAGCTTCTTCTTATCTTCTTATAAAGCTTCTTAAAGAAGCTTCTTATGAAGCTTCTTTATACAGCTCCTTATAAAGCTCCTTATAAAGCTTCTTTTTCAAGCTGCTGAAAAAGCTTCTTATAAAGCTTCTTCTTCTAAAGCTTCTTCTATAAAGCTTCTTATAAACCTTCTTATGAAGCTTCTTTATGAAGCTCCTTATAAAGCTCCTGGGCTTTATAATGCTAACACTAATACTAGTACTAGTACTAGTAGTAGTAGTAGTAGTAGTAGTCGTAGTAGTACCAGTAGTAGTAATAATACTGGTGCTAGTACTAGTACTAGTACTAGTCCTAGTAGTAGTAGTGGTGGCGGCGGTGGTCGTGATACTAAATGTAGCAGAAGTAGTAATGATAATAAAAGTAGTTGTAATCGTGTTAGTAATACATAAAATAATAATAAGAATAATAGTAATAATAGTGATAGTAGTATGAGTAGTAACAATACTTGTAATAGTAGCAGCAGTAGTGGTAGCAGCAGCAGCAGTAGTAGTAACAGTATTACTATAGTAGTAATAATACAAGTAGTAGTAGTAGTAGTAGTAGTAGTAGTAGTAGTAGTAATGATAGTAGTGGTGGTGGTGGTGGCGGTGGGAATAATAGTTGTAGCAATAAAAGTAGTATTTCAAGTAACAGTAGTAGTAGTAGTAGTGATAGTAGTAATGATAGTAGCAGTAATAGTAGTAGCAGTAGTACCACTAATAGTAGTAGTAGTAGTAGTAGTAGTAGTAGTAGTAATAGTCGTGGTGGTGGTAGTAGTAATGATGATAATAGTAGAAGTAGTAGCAGTAGTAGCAGTAATCGTGGTACAAATCGTAATAATAGTTTGATAATTTGCTCAAATGGTCCTGTGGTGGCTTCAGGCACTCCGGGACATGTTTCGAACTGTTTCGGACTGCTTTTTAGACCTGTGGTTTTGAAGCTTGACGCGGCGCCCCTGTCTCTTTTTAGTAGTAGTAGTAGTAGTAGTAGTAGTAGTAGTAGTAGTAGTAGTAGTAGTAGTAGTAGTAGTGATGGTAGTAGTAGTAGTAGTTAGTAGTAGTAGTAGTAGTAGCAGTAGCAGTAGTAGTAGTAGTAGTAGTAGTAATATAAGTACTATTATTTCTACCATGATTACTGCTACTACTACTACTACTGCTACTACTACTACATTACTACTAGCCCGTCAGACGGGCGCCCGTCGGACGGGTGTCCAACAGTACCATTGTTATTACTATTGCTATTCTTACAAATATTTTTTTCATAAACTACAAATACAACTACTATTAATACAACTAGTAGCAATCGTAATAGAAATCGTAGTTGGGTAACTTGCTCAAATGGTCCTGCGGTAGACATGTTTCGAACTGTTTCGGACTGCTTTTTGAGCCCTCTGCAGTTCCGGTTTTGAAGCTTGACGCGGTGCCCCTGTCTCTTCTTGTAATAGTAGTGTTGATAGTAAAAGTACCAGTACTAATTGTATTGATAGCAGTAGTAGTAGTAGTAGTAGTTGTTGTTGTTGTTGTTGTAATAGTTGTTGTAGTTAAGGAACAATAATAATTGTAGCAATTAAGAACAACGGTACTGTTGGACGGACGGACGGGCGCGCCCGTCCGACGGGCGCCCGTCGGGCGGGCGCCGCGCCTGACGGGCGCCCGTCTGACGGGCTAGTAGTAATGTAGTAGTAGTAGTAGTAGCAGTAGTAGCAGGAGTAGTAGTGGTAGAAAAAATAGTAGTAGCAATCGTAATAGTAATCGTAGTTGGGTAACTTGCTCAAATGGTCCTGTGGTGGCTTGAGGCACTTCGGGGCTGCTTCAGACATGTTTTGAACTGTTTCGGACTGCTTTTTCAGCCCTCTGCAGGTCCGGTTTTGAAGCTTCACGCGGTGCCCATGTCTCTTGTCGCAATAGTAGTAATGGTGATAGCAGTAGTTAGTAGTAATAGTAGTCGTAGTAGTGGTCGTGCTAGTAGTAGTAGTAGAAGTAGTAGTACTATTAGTAGTAGTAGTGGTAGTAGTAGTAGTAGTAGTGAGTAATTGTAGTAGTAATAGTAGTGGTTGTTGTGGTAGTAGTAGTAGTAGTAGCAGTGAGTAATTGAAGTAGTAGTAGTAGTAGTAGTAGCAGTAGTAGTAGTGCATGGTAGTGGTGGTGGTGGGTGGTAGTAGTAGTTGTAGTGTATGAATAATAAAAATTGTAGCAATAGCAATAATAACAACAACGGTGTTGTACGGACGGACGGGCGCGGCCGTCGGACGGACGCCCGTCCGACGGGCGCCCGTCTGACGGTCTAGTAGTAATAAATGTAGTAGTAGTAGTAGTAGTAGTAGCAGTAGTAGTAATAGTAGTTGTTGTTGTGGTAGTAGTAGTAGTAGTAGCAGTGAGTAATTGAAGTAGTAGTAGTAGTAGTAGTAGCAGTAGTAGTAGTCCATGGTAGTGGTGGTGGTGGGTGGTAGTAGTAGTTGTGTATGAATAATAAAAATTGTAGCAATAGCAATAATACCAATACCAACAACGGTGTTGTACGGACGGACGGGCGCGGCCGTCGGACGGACGCCCGTCCGACGGGCGCCCGTCTGACGGTCTAGTAGTAATAAATGTAGTAGTAGTAGTAGCAGTAGTAGTAGTAGCAGTAGTAGTGGTAGAAACACGAGTAGTAGCAATCGTAATAGTAGTCGTAATGGGATAACTTGCTCAAGTGGACCTGTGGTGCGCCTGTCACTTGTCGTAATACTAGTCATAGTAGTATAGGTACGAGTACTAGTTGCATTATTAGTAGTAGTAGTAGCAGTAGTGGTAGTAGTAGTTGTTGTTGTTGTGATAGTAGTAGTTAGTAGTAGCAGTAGTAGTAGTAGTAGTAGTACTAGTAGTAGCAGGGGTAGTGGTAGAAGTAGTAGTAGTAGTAGTAGTAGTCGTAGTAGTAGTAGTAGAAGTAGTAGTAGTAGAAGTAGTAGTAGTATTAGTTGTAGTAGCATAAGTAGTAGTAGGAGTAGTAGTAGTAGTCGTAGTAGTAGAATTTTTTGGTAATTCTCACTGTAACAATAGCAATGATAACAACAACGGTGCTGTTGGACGGACGGGCGCGCCCGACGAGCGCCCGTCGGGCGAGCGCCCGTCCGACGGGCGCCCGTCTGACGGGCTAGTAGTAATGTAGTAGTAGTAGTAGTAGCAGCAATAATAATCGTAGTTACGTAACTTGCTCAAAGGGTCTTGTGGTGGCTTGAGGCACTTCGCGGCTGCTTCAAACATGTTTCGGACTGCTTCTTGACCCCTGGGCAGTTCCGGCTGTGAAGCGTGACGCGGTGCTCATGTCTCTTGTCGTAATAATAGTAAAAGTATAAAAAGTACTAGTACTAGTTGTATTAATAGTAGTAGTAGTAGTAGTAGTGGTGGTGGTGGTGGTGGTGAGAGAAGTAGTTTGTAGTAGTAGTAGTCGTCGTAGTAGTAGTCGTACTAGTAGTAGTCGTACTAGGAGTAGTAGTGGTGGTAGTAGTAGTAGTAGTAGTAGAAGTATTAGTACTATTAGTAGTAGTAGTTGTAAAAAATAGCAGTAGTGGTAATAGCAGTAAGTAACAGTATGAATAGTAGTAGTAGTAGTAGTAGTAGTAGTAGTGAGTAATTGTAGTAGTAGTAATAGTAGCAGTAATAGTAGCAGTAGTAGTAGTAGCAATAGTAGTAGTGCATGGTAGTGGTGGTGGTGGTAGTAATAGTTGTAGTTTATGAATGATAATAATTGTAGCAATAGCAATAGTAACAACAACGGTACTGTTGTACGGACGGACGTCCGTCGGGCGCCGCGCCTGACGGGCGCCCGTCGGGCGGGCGCCGCGCCTGACGGGCGCCCGCCCGACGGGCGCCAGTCTGACGGGCTAGTAGTAATGTAGTAGTAGTAGTAGTAGCAGTAGTAGCAGTAGTAGTGGTAGAAATTCTAGTAGTAGCAATCGTAATAGTAGTCGTAGTTGGATAACTTGCTCAAGTGGACCTGTGGTGGCTTCGGGCACTTCGGGGCTGCTTCAGACATGTTTCCGAACTGTTTCGGACTGCTTTTTGAGCCCTCTGCAGTTCCGGTTTTGAAGCTTGACCCTTTGAAAAAAGCACGCGGTGCCCCTGTCACTTGTCGTAGTTCTAGTAAAAGTAGTATAAGTACTAGTACTAGTTGCATTAATAGTAGTAGTAGTAGTAGTAGCAGCAGGAGTAGTAGTAGTAGTAGTAGTAGTAGTCGTAGTAGTAGTAGTAGAAGTAGTAGTAGTAGTGGAAGTAGTAGTAGTATTAGTAGCAGTAGCATAAGTAGTAGTAGTAGTAGCAGTAGTAGTAGTCGTAGTAGTGGTAGTAGTCGTAGTATTAGTAGTAGTAGTCGTACTAGCAGCAGTAGTAGTAGTAGCAGTAATAGTAGTAAACGCAAACGTTATCGGTTTTTTTCTTCCTTATCGTTTTACAGGCTTTTTGCCATGCACAGCCCTTTCCGGACGAAGCCTTACATAATGTAAAGGCGCGGGGTATTCATACAACCCCAAATGGTCTACCCAAAACCATGTAAAAAGACAAGTATGGCCCAGGGGGTCGTCCCTTTGTAACTTCCATGTGCTTAAGCCCCCGGGGAAAAATAAGAAAATATTTCCAGTAGTGAAATCGTTTTCATTTAAAACAACCAAGTGGGGAGAAAAAAAACTTAAGCAAACGGGAGGTAACCTTCACCTACCCCTCGGCTTTCCCCGCCGCGACTGGGTCGACCGTAGGCTCGCCTCCTTCGTCTCCTTCACCTCCGCAGGCGCCATCGGCTTGGTCGCGCTCTTGGTGCGGGCCCTGGACAGCGGCGAAGACCCGCGAAAGCCCACGCCGGCACCGAGCGCCCGGGAAAACACACAACCTGGACCTGCTCAAAAAATATATACCCAGAAAAAGAAGGCAGAAAAGGTTGTTGTCACCCCACTATTTGCGGGCAATGACCACTTTGAGCCGAATTTTGAGGGGCCAGGTACTCACTTCTGATGCAGTGGATTGGCAAAAAACAGTCTGAACTTTTTGTTGACCACTAACATGGTCCAAACCGAAAACGTGACTAAAGTCCAGGAACTCAGGGAGTGAGTATATTGCTACCCCGCCGTCTAGGGGTACTTTCCATTTCCATTGTGAAACCAGGGGTTCTTTGACAAAACCTCCGCAGAAAGCGGTTGGGTTTTTCGGAAAGAACAATGGCTAAAATAATGGTTGGAATCAACCTCTACCCCCCTGCAAATTATCGGAAGGTTTTTCTGGAGGACGCCCTGCTTGGGGTTCTATGTTAAGTTGTATATAGGGAAGTATGCTTTCTGGTGTGGAACCATTATTGAATACATCAATGCCGCTGTGCATCCAAACAAATACTGCGACGACAACCACTACTGGCCGCAAAACTGTTGACATTGACTGGCCCAAATAAATTGACTGGCCCAAATAAATTGGGGTTGCGGGGTACTTTAAAACTTGATTGCGTGGTGATTGTAGTGCTAAACTATTGGACATGTTTTAGCCCCGTATAAGAATCCAGCGGGGTGCAAGCAGGTAGCACAACTCCCTTTATGTGGGCCCAAGAATAGGGGAATTGTGCCATCTACTTCACATCAAGCGACCCAGCCGAACGTGTGAATATCCCTATTCTCACGATCCCGGATTAATAAACACCTACTTACGGGTTACGTGGGGCCCCTCCAACAGTTACCCCCCCCCCCCCCCCCATATTCACAAAAAATGGCGGTGTATTCATCCGGGGTCAACAAATTCATCCTTGAAATGGGGTTCCAAGTTCATGTTTTTTCCCTCGGCCCCAGGAAGGCCGAGAGAAGAAAAATCGAAACCCAAACCCGGGTGGGGCCAACCCCTCGTTTAAAAGGCGCTGACGCTTCACAATTTTCTTGAGGAGATACTCCAGGTGACACATCCGAAGACACAACTCCGATTCTAGGTGTTTGGGCGTCTCAAGGTGACCCCCAAAAGCGGCTGTTCTCCCTTTGTGGCGTCCCTTTAAGCCGAGGTGAACACAAAACATGCAAACAAAAAGTGCCCTCTCCAAAAAGCAAGCAAACTTGAAATTTGATTTTGACATGGTACCCAAAAATGTTTTTGGGAGCGAACCCTCGCTCCCAGCTTCCAACTTCCCTTTTCGCCGAGAAGAGGCGCCTGTGCCGCACGGCCGGGGCCACCTCACGCTTGCTGGGTACTTTGCTCCTCGGCGGTCGGCGGTTTCCACGGACACGGCAAGTTGGGCTCCCAAGCCGCTGCACGAATTTGTTGGGAGAGGGCGGGGGGTGGGGGAAGGGGAGGGGGAGGGAAAGTTGAAGAGCTCCCAAGCTGCACGAATTTGTTGGGAGGGGGTAGGGGAGGTTGGGGAGGGCGACGGAAGGAGGAGGGGCCCAGGTGTTTGAAGAAAGATAGTAGGTATGGGGACACAATGCACACATTGTTCCTTTCTGAGCCGATTTGGTTTCAATGTGTTTCAACGTACCCTGCAACAGCGGTTTACAGTAATTGGTTTGGCCCTGATGTTAAACCCACCAAGGTGTCCTGCCCCACCTTAGGAAAACGAAAAGGGATTAACCTCCTTGGCATTTTCCAGAAGGGAAAACCGGGGCCAAATATATGGGGAAGTTGGCTAAAAGAGGGCCTCTAACATACCTCCAAAACATGTTTTATTTCTGAGAAATCTTGTAAAAAAGTTGAACCAAGTATATAACTTGGCTCTGTTGAAAGCAGATTTACAGTTGGACGAAGTGGATAGCACAATTCCAACTAATCTTGGTCTGGTTTAGCCATTCCCTTTGCTTACTCAGCGCGCCATCCGCGCGCCATCTACTTTCACAGCCAGGCTGCAGCCGCTTGGTTCCGGTCTTCGTCCGCGAGGGCTTGCGCTTTGCACGCATCGGACGCCTGCAACGCGGCGGATTCTGAAAGCATGCGTGCTTCATAAACTGGCACAAGCAGCACATATAGTATATTTACGGCCACATATGCATGTGGGTATACATACTATGTCCAAAGATGTGTATTTATGCTTGTATGCTTGAATGTATGTATGTACGTACGTATGTGCGTATGTCTGTCTGTCTCTGTCTGTATGCATGCCATGCATGCATGTGTGGATGGTATGGGTCGGGGGGGGGTTCTCAAAATTGGTTCGTCTTTTTTGGGGGGATCCCCATTTTGGTTGGTTCAAAGTGACACCAAAAGGAACTTGTTGCCATGTTGAGGGTTCTCTTTTGAGACAACCCCAATGTACATGTATGAACACTGTTATTATACTGTCATTGTCATCATTCGTTTCTGGGAAGTATTCTTATGGTAAGCACTATCATGCTTGTCATTTACTACTGTGCGGTTTAAACTTTAAACAAGTGGTAAGTATCACTTTGTCAAATCGGCATTGTCATATCTCTATAGCGTTGTGGTGATTGACAAAGGCAATAATTATCCCCCGCTGCCTTCGGTGGCCTACCTGCCCCCCCAAAAAGACAGACTGCTGCCCATCATCAGGGACATTTCAGGTGTGTGAGTAGCACACCCAACCCATATAGATACACATGAGATGTCAAGGAAATCGGTGGACAACTCAAGTGAGGCTCACTATGTGACCTTTCAGTCTGAGAGCCATTGCTTCAAACAATGGAGCACTCATGTGCTCTGGATCTCCATGGGGCAACCTTCTATTGGATCCTATTCATCAGCCGGGGAGGAGCAACACCTATAATTATGACACACGCCAACCCTCGTCGGTAAAAATATCGTGTTTGGCAGGTTGTCCTTTGGTTCCATTCCATTGATCCAGTGTTCCGCATAACATGCTAACTAGATAGTCACTTGGAGCCAAAAGGTCGCCATGGGAAATCATGACCCTGAATGGGCACTAATGGCCCTCATCTCTAGTAATCATGTAATGACTATTGCGTTGCAATGCTAGTTGTGGCTCCAAATCCAAATCACTATATAGAGAACCCAACATCCCCTCCCACCAACTAACATAGAAGCTGACGTTCAAGACCCAGTCTCTTTACAAGGAACATGGTCCAAACCAGGCCCCGCCCCGAACGTTAGGTTCCACGTTAAGTGGTGGGAGAGTAAACACACACAATACTCATAGGTACCCGGACCCCTGGAAATTGAAACAAGGACTCAAACCTGTGGTCCCGTGGTGGTTTAATTTTGACCCATACCCATACAGGGGGGTCTTTTTGTCTCCTTTTGTGGAAAAATGATCGACCCCCTCGTAGTGAAGGATTCCTTTTCGAGGGGTCGCCAATTTTCTCACGAAAGGTGGCAAAAAAAAAACTGTACCCATACGATCTGGGGAACCCAACAAGAAGTATCGCAGACCTCCCTTCGCCTGCAGACCAAGTTGTCCTCCACCTGTCTGAGCTCCTTCTCTCCCTGGGAACGAAATGAACGAAAAGGTGCGGACAAATCTAAGGGCCTCAACAAAAATAGCGGTTTAGGGTTGAGGGTTGAGGGTTTAGGGTTAGGGTTTAGGGTTTAGGGTTATGGAGCACCACAGAGAACAACACAATAGTAATTGGGGTGCCTCTAAATAGGTGCACCCTCAAATGATCGGTCCCCCTTTAGTTTCCGTTTAACCAACAGGGGTACCCTCAAAAAAAGACTCACCTGATTGTTGAAGCCCCTAGGACGGAGCCCACCGAAACCTAACAGGCACGCCGGAACGGGAAGCCAAATACCCAGGTTGCCAAATAGACCCTACATGTCCATCCGGGCGAGTAGAAATCAGCCCCCAGGAAAGGTGTTCGAGGAACCTGCTCGGAGGTGTTCGGGTCAAACCTTTCTGGGAGATGGGGGGGGATTTTGTTGTCTCTCCTTAACACTCAAAGATCTAGACTAAGACACACCCTCAATCAACCGGAAGATTAAAAGCCTGAAAATAGTTCACGCCCCTGAAACAACAAATGGACCCCGAAGAACTTGCACCCCCTTGGGAGGTCGCTAGAATTTGCCCGGAAACATGCTACCTCTCTCCTTTGAAGGCAAACACAGAGATTCAAACAAGGACCAGCATTCCGAAAAGGGCTTAGTAGTTTGTGCCAGAGTTCTCTGTCAGTGGGATAATCGGGCTCCTCCCGCTGTTAATGATGGCCTCCCTCCAACTAACATGGAACCAAACCGGAGGTCGCTGGAAAACCGTTTTAGACTAAAAGGGAGCTCCTGGTGGTTGACGTTCGTGGGAGGAAGGGTAGCTTGAGTCTCAACTCTTGAAACCCGCAAAATGCGATGGGCATCCTACTGAAGGGCGCGAGATCCGTTTGCAAGGTTTGAGTCGAACTGTAACAACACAGATTATGGCTTTTAGGGAGAGTAAACAGGGCCAATGTCCCAAGCAGGTTCTCAGAACACCTCGAGAACATCTTCGAAGCCTTTGATGGTTGATGGGTACGGTGCGCTGAATCAACTTATGGCGGTGATCCCACCGGGCCCAAAAGCCTAAAGCTCTAAAGGGGAAATATCCAAAAGCCAGACGAGCAGATTGCGTGGCAAAATGTCCGCGGAATGGGAGCTCAGTTTCTGAGGTTCCGTGAGGCAACCCTTAAGTGGTTTGGGAATTTGAAACCATAGGTTCTTCTAGAGTGAATGGGCAACAACTTTCTGGCGGCGAAACCACCAAAAGCAAACAACCAACTAGGGGGAATCGGATCTTATGCTTTACAATGGAGCAACTAAGAGTAACAACAGGGATCCTTACATTATACACCTGAACATTGCCTTCTAAATGGTGGTTTCCCTTTATTCTGGTAGCAAAAGCAACATGCTTCAAATGGTTGCAAAATGGAGATCTTTTCAGGAGCCCTGAACAACGATACGTGGTCCGTGCTTTGCCTATTGCTCTTGGCAGTCGCTGACCTGTGGCGTGATGGCCCCACCCTTGCTTGGCATGCGCAGTGACCGGGGTCAAGGCGAGATTGTCCCCAGAGGGCGCGCTGTCGCTGCCGCCTACCGCAAAACGCTGGGGTTGCCGGAATTCCAACTTGCCTGGAACATAGGGGCACAATAATTGGAAGTTGTGTTTCTGGGGGTGCTTACAAACCAAATGTTGTCATGATCATAGAAGCAGAACGTGTGAAATTATTTAGCGCTCCTTACAATTCTTGTCACGTTAGCCCGGGGAAGCAACAAAAGCAAGCAATTCATGCTGGGAACGACCTCGAGCAATCTCCAAAAGGGTAGAACCAGCCTCCTCACCGCTTCATGCATTTCCTCATTGCTATTTCTCTCACTTTAATTTTCGGGGATTCTGCTGGCCACTGACAGAAAGTGGCAGCAGACCCCATTTCCCACAACGAAGTCATGGGTGTGGCTCAAAATTTAAGAGCTAGGGTTACGCAGGGTTTGGTCTTTGTTTCCATTTACCTAGGGGCCATTTTGGGTACATCTTTTTGAGCCACAGACACCTTCGCTGTTTGCAACTCTCCCCACCAATCTTTTGTACAGTATCAAAGGACCAAGTCATCAACTCGCTTCTTGACTAGGTTGGCCTTAAAAAGTCTGAACTTTTTGCGTACCACGAACAAAAATCCAACCCAACACATGACTAAAGTCGGGCAACCTACTGAGCGCAGTACAGCAATGCTAACTTGCCCAAACGACCCGGAAGACATGCGCGCAAAGAGAACTAAGCCTCTAAGGGTTTTTGTATTACACCCTGGGAATACACCCACTGCGTATTGACCCCAGCTAGGCACATTTCCGGATAACACCGTGTTACTTTGAACCATTCTGGGTCATTTCCCAAGGGTGGTAATCGCAGGGTGTAATACAAAAACCCCTCAGAAAGCCGCGATTCCGGCCGAAGAAATGAAAGCACAGGGTCTTCGGACAGCTCTGATCCGCTGGTTTCTCGAAAGGTCCATCTCGAACGGACCTTTAGCATGGACAGGTGCGTTAGTTGTCCAGAGAAGGAACCACCCAATTTAACATGGATTGTTGCCCCACAACTATTGGGTGATTTCCTGAGTTTAAGGGTCCAGGTATGTCTTTGTAAATTGGTAGTTGTGCCGTTTATGCAGACCACTCCTAGCTGTTGCATCAGCTTCCGCATTTGCAAACAACTTGCTCGACATGGACATCTATGGCGAAACGAAACGGCCACGGACCACCGACATGGCTTAGAATGACTGCCAAACGGAATGTGATGCTCGAAGCCCTAAACCTTGCCGTTGACATCTGGATGGTGCCAGGAACTTGGTGCGTGCGCGTTTGCCATGCATCTTTGGCCAAGCAGAGGCCTTTGGCTTCCCACTTGTGACCTTCAAGGCTCCAACTAGTCAAACAAAATCTGGCGTGTGCGCGAATTGGTCCCCAAGGCTGGGCCCAATCACTATCCTGCATGCCACAATTTAGTGGAATATGCGCTTCTTCTTTGCTCTCTTTGGGGGAGTTGGACATTGTGTGATCCCTCGCCAGGATTGCCGTAGGTCCAAAGTGACCGGCTTTCTTTATCCTTTTCCGCAAAGTCAAAAAGGGCTTTCACGGAGAGAAACCCACCGGCCGCGGGAATGGTCGGATTGCAATGCGGCGCCTGAGTCGGAATCTTCGACGACCGAGAAGTTCGTGTGTTGTTTGATGTCTCTCATGATGTCGGCCATGTTGATGTCCAGGAAGTTGACGTTGCCCTTGGGCAAAATCCAACAGGACTTGCCCGAAACTTGGCACTATTCCAGTTGTCCCAAAAATGTGGTGTTCAGTTTTTGCGTCGACCCCAGCATGGACACCCAAAGGAAACAAATCCGAGTTTCTGCCCTTGTCATCTTCTAGAGGCTCGGAAACAAAACCCGACCACCAAGGAATCGTCTAAGGACAGGCTGAAACTCTATGAAGTTCTGAGGATGTTTGAGCCACATCACAAGCCACCTTGTAATTACCGGGTTCTGAGGGTGGGTCCAAAGGTCCAAAGGGCTTCCCACGCATCCATGTTCAAGCACTTACACTTTCAGCCAGGGTTGCTCTTCCACGTCTCAAAAAGTCAAGCTCCCGAAAGCTGGAAGATGCTTGTACGCGTCACAGAAGCTTTCAAGCCCATCCCATCTCTCATGAAGAGAAACATGGCAACGGCTCAAAATCATGTACCAAAATGGCACCTTAGTAAATGGAACCAAACACTAAAACCTGCGTAACCCTGGCTCTTTAATTTTGAGCCACACCCACATCTCACCAGCCGCGAACACATGAAGTGGGCTTTCAATTTGCGCCGGCCGCTTGCGAAATTCAAGAAGCGCGTCTTCGCGCTCGAAGCGGGAAAAATAATCATCTTCTGAAGTCTACTAGGTCCTCCAGTAGAGAGGTTAGAAATAGGGTACCCTTGTTGCTGTAGTCTATTTTAGTAGGGGAACCCTTCTCCCCCCCAAAAAGAAGAGGTAAAAGGGCACTACTGGGGGACCTGGGGTCTACGTCTCCCCAGATGACCCGGCGTTGCGCCCCAGTTTTTCACCGTCAGGCAATGATGGCTTGGCCTCGCCAAACGAGCGTCTTGTGGACGATGCCAGCAGAGTTGAGAAACACTATGCAGTAGAGGCATTTCCTTCCCTCCATGGCGAACTTGATGGCCCTTTTTCAATAACATAGCTTCCCAAAACACCGAACCAGGCCATACGGAATGCGACGAGGTTTGCAGAAGAAAGGAGCCACATTCACCATCGCAGCATTCCGCTTGCTTTGCGGGCAATAAGGCAAAATGCGCCGACACTGTGGGAGGTTCGTTTTGTCTGGTTATTCCATCTAATCCAAAAAGCAAATCCCCTTCAGGTCCTTTCTACCAGAGCTTGCTGTAGAAAAGTAATGCCTATTCGTCCCTTCCAAAGTCCTCTTTGATTCTTGGCGGTTGTAACACCTATGCAACCCGTGGCCGGAGATTAAACCAAGCAAAACCCGTGGCGGGAGATTAAACCAAGCAAACCCGAGAAAAAAGAAGAAGAAAAAAAAACGGACCTCTCCGTTGGAGAATCTGGACATCACAGGTTCTCCCCATGGGAGGTGGGAGGCATGTCCTTCCCCAGCCTGCGTGCTTGGAGGCTCGTCCTGGCGATGCGACACAAACAAAAGAGCCAACGAAGCAAACAAACAAATAACTAAGCAGGCAGGCGGCAGGCGGGCAAGCAAGAAAGCCAGGCAGCAAGCCAGCCAAAAACCAAACGACAAACAAACAAACAAACAAACAAACAAACAAACAAACAAACAAGTAAACCAAAAACAAACAAGCAAGCGAGCGAGCAAGCAAGCAAACAATCAAGCAAGCAAAGAAACAAGCAAGCACAACACAAAAACACACATAGCCAAGAACGCACGCACATGCACACGCACACACACACACAACACACACACACACGAATACACACACGCACACGAATGCACACACACACACAGACACAACCACGTGCACACACACAGACACGGAGCACAAAACACGCAAGCACACGGACAGAAACACGTTCACGCGAACATGCACACTCAATCACGCAAACACATACACGCCAAAATGCCAAACACAGCGCTCGAGCAATGTATATATATATATAAATATATCATGAGGGAAGCCCTTGCTGAGGTCTTGAGTCGCGCTGGTTGTCCACCCGCTTGGCTGACTCCATAGATTTCAATCAAGCCGCTGTGCTTTGACGCTTCAAGGGCCTTCCCGAGCTCAGGGGTTCGAGCATGCGTACAAAGCTTTGTGGTTTGTTGCCTCCCAAAAAGTTAGGCAGTTGGTGGGATATGTCAAAATTGTTACCCTTCCTCCTACACACATGGCACCTGTGGAAGGTTTCCTAGAAGATCAGTTTCCTCTTCAAGGGACCATTTCCCATGTCAGGTGACATGTTAGGAGGGAGGGTACCCCTCTAAACTCTAACCGTCTACACATCTAAAGGTATTGAACAAAACCGCCATACCAAGCCTCCGTTCCTCCCCGGGTTCACCAAACCCGGCCTCCTTGAAAGCCGGTGGCGTAAAGGCTTCTAAAGGCCTGGCCAAGTGACAGGTGACGCTTCTGCTGCAGAGGGACATCCTGAGTTGGTTCCCCTTGGTCAACATTACGAGTTCGGCCGTGAGGTGATCTTCTCTTGGGATCGGGTGATGTTTCAAACGTCCATTTGCTTTTACGTCCCCTGGGAAAAATATATTTCCAGTAGTGATGGATTCCCTTAAAAAAAGAAGCAAAAAAAAGTAAACATACACAATTCTCTTAAGCAAATGGAAGTAGAGGAACGGCCTGTCTCCCACTAACATGGCAGCCGATGGGGAAATGGGCCTTCAAGAGGAAACGATCTTCCACGTACCCTCCCATAGGTGCCATGTTAGTGGGAAGGTAATAGATAATACACTGAACAACTAAAACCTGTGAATGATACAATCCTCGTATTGAGAAGTTATCATAGAATCCAAGCACTTTGAAAGGGCTTAGGAAGCGGTTTGATGCCCGTTGGCTAATGGGTTAATGGCTCCCTTCTTTGTGGGAAAACAAAACAACCCGTCACAGAACTGGGGTCCTTATGTTGACTTTTTTGTGAGAAAAAGGGGTTGGTTCCCTTTAACATACCATAGTAGGGGGAGTGACTTTGATTATGGTGAAACAATGGTTCCCCAATGTTAAGGAACCATGAAGTAAGGGACCGACGTCATGGGTGAGCTCGCTGGATTTTCCCCGGTCGGCAAGCTAAAGTCCGAACTTTCATCTTGTTCTCAGCCGCAACCAAATGAAGACAACAAAGATGTTCGAAGGTTTCAAAGTCTGACTTTGGACAAGTCAGATCCCAATTTTCCCCCCTTCAACTTCATCCCAGCAAAAGGGAAGGGCATTACCCAGAAAGCCTTTGTGGGCCAGCTTTAACTGCACACAAGCTCGCCATTTGGCCATGGGTCAAAATCCAAATCGTACCCCGAGTGAACATCCCACTCCCCACTAAATAGACTAAAATGGGTGGTGCACCTACCCCAAAATGGTACTATTGGTTTTGACCCACAGCCATTTGGCCAAATGTACGGTTGTTCAACTAGTCGTGCGGTCAATAACCCAAGAGGGATGGGAACCCAACTAATCAAAGAGCACCAGGGCCCGAAGACTCTTCAGGCCTGGTGCGCCAACTGATTCTTTTTGGGTGCACCAAGCTTGGCGTACTCTTTTTTTTATTCGAGGAAGCCTCTCTTGGGCTGGAGCCACTCATTTGGGGTTTGCCCCTTGTGCTGAGACCCCGCCAACACAAAAAGTGCATCACGGCGGTCTCAGGCCACCACTCTCCGCAGCCGGAGCCATCCTCGGAAAAGTTGCTTAGGAAATCGGTCCTAAACAAAGGCAGCTTGAAAACATGGTTCTAGGTCCTCCAGATTTGAGAGGTTAGAATAAGGGTACCCTTTTCTCTGTCGTCTATTTTAGTAGGGGAACCCTTCCCGAAAAAAGCAACGGTAAAAGGGCACGATCCTGGGGGCCCGAGTGGTTTTACCGTGTCCAAGCAAACCGTGTCATCCAAAAAGCGTCGTTTTGCCGCCCGAAATGGTGGTGATCCCTTCGGTCGAAGCTAAGGCCCTCCTAGGCCCCAGAAGGACCCCCCGCGACTTGGGCTCAGCTTTTCTGAGGCTACCAACTTGCGCTGGGTGTTTTCAAGCCAACAGACAACTTGGCTCCTTATATCAAGACCTGCTTTGTTTGGTGGGGAAGGCTCCTTATATGAAGACCTGAGTTGTTTGGCGAAAAAAATCGCCATTTGGGCCTGTGTTTTTTTGACGTGGCCGTGCCGGGAGGTTGGTATAAGGGGTATGAATCGCAGGTATGGTTCGGGGTATGGCTCGGGGGTATGATTCGGGGTATGGCGCGCGCGCCTCTGAACTCTTGCTTTGTGGCTTTGGACACTGCAAAGCTCCCGTGCGCTGGCAAGCTATCCGTGAGAATTTGGACCGCTTAGTTGCTACAAGCCAGCCTGGGGCGCTTGTGAGTGGCCTGAAGTAGACAGCTGCCACTCTGCGTGAGTGGGTTAGCGAAAGCTGCTGCGCTAGGTGGAAGGCGCAGAGCCACTGCCTGAGGCGAACGTCATGGCCACCTCCACTTGGAGTTCAAGCGACCCGCGTGCTCACAGACCCAGGCAAGTGTTAGGGCAAGACAGCGTGACATCCTCAAACGGCAGCCGCGCAGAGGCTAGCGGGCCTCTCACAGGTAGTGTACCGTGTCGCGCTTGATACATCGCAGTAAGCCTTCCGAACCTACCTTCTGGCGAACTTCTGCGAAAAGAGCCGCGAGCTGGTTCCTGCATCGCTTCTCTTTGAGATTTGTGTCTTCTGAGGATTTGGGCGGCCTAGCTTCGCTAGTACTGCCCAGAGCGCAAGAGGCTCTTGGCTGCAAATGGCAGCAGAAGGATATGAATCGGGGTATGAATCGGGTATGAATCGGGGGTATGAGTCGGGGGGCAGATTTTTTTCGACCGGAAAGACACCAAGAGTACCCCAGGAGCACAAAGACAGCTTGTGTTTCACTGCGACAGTGGCCCAGGACAGACAGCTGTTTCCACCGCGTCGGACAGACTGCAGGAAGCAAGCTCCAAGTCTCAAGCTCAGCAGCGGCACCCCCCACCACAGCGCCCTGCAAGTCCCAGCGTCTTACGTCAAGCTGCACCCCCCCGCCACAGCACCACGGATGCTACAGACAACTCTAGTACCAGGACATCCGCAGGATTGCTCTATAACTCCATCCATTGACACTTTCCATTGAAAACAGCAAGCTGAGACCGAGGTGGGTAACCGAGTGTCAAGGAACACCACTTGAGCCAAAATGGCCCCCACGAGTAACCAGTCAGTGTGTGAGTGGACATGTCAACTGTACTTGGCCCCATGACATCAGAGCCCAACCATGCAAGCATCGCAGACTCAAGAATAGATCCAGGAACCACAAGTGAACCAGGTATTACCTCGGAGTCCCTACCCCCTGGCATCGGTCCACATGTCAAGCTCTCTGTTTCTTGACAAGACCCCCTTCTTCACTTGAAGTTAAACCCCCTATAGCTTCCAGCTATCCATGGATCACATGCAAATGCCACAGTTCTTGCAAGTTGCTTTTTGTGTTTTTAAGGGGTATGACTCGGGGTATGGCTCGGGGGTATGGTTCGGGGGTATGGTTCGGGGTATGATTCTGGGGATGGCTCGCCCAAGCCCCACCTCCCACGAAGACTAAAGAACTGACACGGTAAAAAAACACAGACCCATTTCCCAAAAACAAGCCTGCAGGCTTCAAGGTCGCAGGGACTTGTTGCAGGACGCCACCCTTTAATAAATTGGATTTGATAAAGTTGAATGTCGGAAATTTATATAATTATGTAAAATAATAATCGTTGATGTTGTTTGTTGTAACAGTTGTGTCTTCTTCCTTTTCATTTTAAATTATTTCAGTTAGTTTGATGAATTCTTTTGACTTATTACAAGTCCTACTAAACCAACAAGTAGAACGCCTCACAGAAACAACCAGCATCCTTTGTGGTTGCACCGCTGTGCAGACGTGAAATTCTGCGCAGGGGCTTGGGCCAAATTCGGGGAAGTTGAACTGTAATTGGGGCCGC